TTTTCAAATTTTTTTTTGAACTTTGGGACAGGTATTGACTTGATGCTGCATTCAAGTGTGACTTTTTAAACTGGCAGCAATGCCGTTTTTGTTTTGAGAGCTTGGCAACTGAGTTTTCATGCAAGTTTGGTTTTATTTCTTATACAGATTATTAGTTTTGCTTTGCTAACCCCGATTGCGTTATGATAATTTGACAAATCGCACTAACTTCAGAGAAATTGTTTAGCTATTTAGCCTCTTTAATGACTGCTTCTCCAAGCTTTCTCGGCTTTTTTGGCAACAAAATGAAGTTGTTGCGTGAAGCTGGATCTTCTACTTTGTCAAACTAAGCTAAGCCTCAGTCTGGCGTTGAACATTCTCACGTCTGGTTTTTGCCAGTGCTGTTTTTCTGCAAAGCTTTCTTTATGCCATCAGAGCAAAATTTGAACGCTGACGAAACTTGTTTCTTCAGAATAACGAACTCACTTAGTGTCGTTATTCTACTGTTTTTACTTGATCTACTCTGTCTTTGTCTAGAAGCCTTCAACATTTTTTGAGCTGAACATGCGTAGTTAATTTTCAAAATGACAGATTGATTAAGCATCAGTTGGGGAAGTCTTAGACAAGGTTTTGAGTTCATTGTTATTCTCTAAAAACTTTTTGAGTTTGTCTAAAATTATCTGTTTTCAGTTAATTTTTATCCATTTTTAATGAGATTTAATTGCTATCAAGTTCAAGTTTTGTAAAAAAAATAATTTCGTTTTTAAATTGGTTGATGTGCTCAATTCGAAAACAACTCAATAATTTTATTACTATCAAAATTAATTGATAGCTTTTTAAGCTTAAAGATTTAGTACGCTAGTGATCTGACTGACTTGTTCAAATCTAACGTCTATAAAACTCGGGGGTCTTCTGTCGTTGTAGGCCAGCAGTTGCTGCTATTAGTTTTTTAAGTTAACTTTCGAAAATGTATTTTAACAATTCCGTGAAAGAAGTCTGTTGTTCCGATCATTCAAAATGAGAGAAATTTTGTATTCTTGTGTGTTTTAGTTATTGCTCCGACTGTTTGAAAAATGAGTGTTTTGTTTTTCCTTTTTTCTTACCTTTTTGTTATCCACGCAAAATCAATAAACACAAATAATTATTGGAATTGTTCGATCAATATACCAAATCGACTCTTGTTCACTCGTGATTCATTTATTTGAACAAAATTTGAAAAAATCTGAGAAATATTTTTGGTTTCTTTGAGTTTATCTGTTTTTTGTTTGTTTTTGAGTTTATCTGTTTTTTGTTTGTTTTTCTAGTCGTTTTTCTACAGAAATGGTTGTCCCGCTTACCCAGACTGTTGTATCAGTCAAATACACTTAGATTTTTTTCTTCCGTCTTATATTTTCATCACAACACGCTGAGAAGACTATAATAAATTGGAGAAGAGAAAAAAATTATTTTACGTTTTTTGCACAGCAACCAGCAATACTTGTTATTTAATACGTTTTTTCTTTTTTTTTGTTTTCACACAAAAATAGGGACAAAAACCAATCATGGGGTTTACTTGACAGATATGTCAATTTAAAGCCTTTTTAGTCGTAATAGGAACGAAAAAAAAAATTGGAAAAATTTTTCTCATCGTCGAAAAACACTTGTCAGAAAGATTGATTTTGGTCCTATTTCTAGCGAATAAGGTGGGTGAGAATGATTCAAGTAATATATCGAATTAAAGCCCTCAATTTCGAGTCAAGAGATATTAAAAACAGTGTCGAAAAGACCATTTTTTTGTTATGGTTTTTTTGTTTAAGCTCAGCGTGTAAAACAATTGAGCAGGATTTTTTAGAAGAATGACTCAGAAACACTTTGAACAAATGTTTTACGTCAGTAAAATTTTCGTCTGAAGTTTTTAGCGCCATTTTGAAACAAAAAAACTTCGAATAATCAAAACAGGTTTTCGAATTTTGTTGCCCGGTTAGCCTATTTTTTTGTGCCTGTCGAATAGGTTGATTTTTTAGTTCTTCAAGTTTTTGTCAATTCATTTCATCACAACACGGACAAAAAAAACATAAACTTGGAAAACAAAAGGGGAGAACAACCTCCTGCAATTTTTTGATAAAATGGTTGAACAAATTGTCTGACTTTCACAGCAGCCCAAAATCCCCGTTTTTGCCGCAAACACTTATTGATTAGCTTGCGTCATTTCTAAAATTTTTAAATAAGCACTCTGAAAAATCTTTGAAGTCAGAAACTAAAAAGTCAGAAACTACTATGGTAATAGAAGTTATGAAACTAATCTTTCATCAATGCACCTAATCAAAAAATCATCAGATTTTCATAGTTTATTGAACAGTAAAATTTAGTGTGAATAAAACTGAAGAGTCAGAAGGCTGTTGATCATGCCAATCAGATCGATAAAATTGGAACTTGCACAGAATCAGCCGTAGTTGACAAAAACAAATCAAGATTAATCTGGTCTTAAGCTACGGGTCTATTAGGTACTTAGACTTAACTGGGCGTTTGTTCCCATGGCTTTGCAAATGAAAAACTTTTTCGAAACAAAATTTTCGTTATAAGTGTTCTGCGAGCAAAACTCTTTGTTTGTGAAAATTACCTGCCATGGGTTCCCTGTTACATGTGTACAAAAATTACAAATTTAACTTATAAGGATCTCAATGCTGTGTCCATCAGCATCATGAACTTCAAAAAAATTTGTTTAAAAAAATAACCATCAATAATCAAATCTCTATGATTTCAATTTTGCTATCTACCGCCTCGACCGCCGCCGCTTCGGGGTTTCAACGCGAGCCTGCAATTTCCTGATGGAGGCTTTGGAGTCGATTACGGTTACATACCTCAAAAGCCTGCAACTAGAATCCAATAGGACTGGCGTCAAACCGTCTGGTCGCTTACCATCTATCCTGTGAAGATGTCGTGGCTCTAAAACAGAAAGAATGTGAGGGAGGCGGAACTTTGATTTATAATGGCTATCAAATTTGAATGCGTAGAAAACATCCCGGCAAATTTTTGGTCAAAATAGGCCATGTCATCCATCTTCGGTTGGCTGTTTTCTGCTAATGCATCTACTTTTCACGAATTGTCAAATCTAGACAGAGCCTAATAGCGATGCTAAGTTGCTGATTCTCAGCTTTTATTTTAGATTTTTACACAGGACGAAATTCAACCACTTTAATCCGAACTTACCCTTATCTTTTAAGTGTTGAAATCGAACATCGGCAGGTTCTACTTTAAAAGTCATTTGAAACATTTCTTTTTCAAATTGAGCTGAATTCAAATTTATTGAACTTCGTTTCCCAGAGCTATATTATTTTTGCTGAACCAAACCAAAGTCTAAACCATCATTATATGTTCCATCTTCGTGCTCCAAACGGAAATTTTGGCTTAAGTTAGTTTTCGCTCCTACTGCTGAAGCTAAAGAAGCGGGTAAAGCTTGTAGGTGAGCGGAAGAAACACCTATGCCACTTTAACTGCTGGAAGAAGAACTGCTTGTAAAAAGTGGCTGTTGTTCGTTTTTAATTTTATTTATTATAACGAGATTTTTAATAACGTTTCCAAAAAACCACCTTTGATTTAATTTATAAGGAATGCGCTACGAATTTCCGTTTATGCCCTCTTCATTGACAGATTCACTTCAGCGCCAAGGTGTTCTGTCTCCCTAAAAGTATTGGAGTCAGGAAGATAACTTAGTTCAATTTTAATGCAAATACTATTTTCACAGGTCGCAATTTTTCCAAAGAAGAAGACGACAGATTTCAATTTAATTCATTGCATGGAGATAATTTTTAGACGTTGCGATTTTAAGATGTAAACGTTTAAAAACCACAGCAGCATATGAGTCTGTAATAAATGAAATGCTAAAAATAGCAAGAAATTGCAAACTATAGGTCAAACTGACTGAAAAACAATTTTAAAACCTTTTTTCAAATTACTAATTCATAATAATTCGCTTAACTGTGACATGTTTGTAAAATTGCGGTAACTCTGAAAAAAGAGTAAACACCTGAGGAAAAAGAAAACTCGAACTTTTCTAAATTTATTTATGCTATAAATTGATGAATATTAATACTCTGGATTTTTTTCAAGCTGTATACTTAAGACGTTAATTCAATCTTCTCAGTTCAGAGAGAAAAACAACAACTCTTATCTTGGCGAAAGATAGAATAAGGAAAGAGAAAATTCCAAACGTTTCTAAACTTTTCTATGCTATACATTGATGAATACTAATACTGTGAAATTATTTTTCAAGCTGTCTACTTAAGACGTTAATTCAATCTTTTCAGTCCAAAGAGAAAAACAAGATATCTTCCCACAGCGAAAGATAGAATAAGTCTATCGTTCAACTTCAACTCATTCAGGCTGCAGACTGCGCACGCCATTGAGAGTAGTCCCAGAGTAACAAGAGCAGAAAAAGCTGAGTGCAATTGAATGAAAGGCAATAAATTTGAAAGTGTAACTAAAACTCCAATAATTGAGAAAATGCAACACTTTAAACTTAAAAATTTTAGATTAAAAATGAATTGTATAATTTTTAAAAATTATTTCGCCGCTAATTAAGCCGCAGATTGTGTGCAAATAGAAGGTTAATCTTCGTAAAGAATGGAGATAAGCCAGCCAAACCTCAGCGGGCTTCTAAGCAGCTACCTCACTGGACAATATTTTGATTTTAATGTTACCCCGTGCTTTGCAAGTTGAGCTTAAATATTAATGTCACAGTTTTGATCGCAATACCTTCTAGTACACAAAAATTTGGAAAAAGGATACAAATACCGGCTTATCTCAATTGCGGCGCAAAATATTCATCCAAAACTGTGACCTTATTATTTAAGCTCTACTTGCAAAAAATGATTAAGAATGAAGTTAATAGCTGAGATTAGCGAGAAACAAGTATAACGTTAATATGGGTTATTGTATAGACTATTTTGGGATCGCGGTCGATACAAGTCCTCGTCTCATCAGTCTTTTCGAGCTAAAATGTTGATGAAAATAGGTTAAATCTCATTAAGAATTTGTTTCAGGATGATTGGAAGGCAGCTGTTGTTTTGGTCATTGCTGGTAGGCCCGAAGATAGGAAGAATGCTGCCATTCTACAGGAAGCAGTTGCCACAGGCAGTCGAAGATTGTTTTCGTCAATTGAACTTGCTGAAATGTACAAAGTTGTAAGTATGAATATGAAAACTTCATTTTATTGCACTATGGTTTGTAAAGTTAGGCCTGTATAAGTCACTAATACTCCCAGTGTTATTATACGGACTCTCATGTACACATATATCGAGGGGGGATCAATTGCAGTTGGAGCGATTTCAAAAGAAAGCAATCCGGTGGATCACTGGAAATAAAACGGGAGTGTACATCAACGAACTACGCTTGCTAAACATTTTACCCCTGCCCATGTTCATCCAGCTAAATAACATCTTACTTCTTGCCAGTCTTGATTCTAATGAACGAAATGAAATAGTGTTAAACAGGCGAACCACACGGGCTAGAAATATAGAAATTTTTGAGATGCGAAAAGTGAGAACGGAAAAAGCGAGAAACGAATTTGTTTTCAGAACCAGTAGGATTGTAAATCGATTAGAACCATATATTCATTTTGATAAACGAATCGGCCTCAAGACGAGAATTTTAAACACGATGTGGAAATTTGTAAACGAGAGATTTTCAGAAATGACAACGTGCACGTGGCAATTATTCTGTGATTGTATCACGTGCAGAAACAAGTGGACATTGTTTTAGAGAAGACGCCGGGACCAAGACTCCCAACAGCAGTGCTGTGAATCCCCAACAACAACAACAACAACAATAATCCTTCTATTTCTATGAATTTTTAAAGATTTGAAATTACTGAAAGTTTTAATGATAAACAGTTGAATCATACAGGTCAGTAGACATTCAAGTTTCCCTCCTACAATTAACGAATGGTTTAAACTATGAAAAAACATCAGATTATATAATCTTTTTTATGATTTTTTTCTGCTTAGTTGCCACGACTCGGAATTTGTCTAAGATTTAAGCTTTTGTTATTATAATTGACAACCTTTTCAAGTAATTTTTGTGCAACTAATTGCGCTCCAAGAAATTTTGCTGATTTTTTTTGATATTTGTTTTCTTTTTTGATTTTTTTTATTGTTCCGACCATTGAAAAAGGGGAAGAAATTTGTATTCCGGTATGTTTCAGTTTTTTGTCTTCTTTTTCAACTTTTGTTTTTCACGCAAATTTAGGTACCACAAATAATCATTATACATGTTCGAGTCATATATCATACTAAAGCCCTTTCAGTTGTAATTCAAACATTAAAAAAAATTTTCTTTGTCGAGAAAGACGGATTTGAAATTTTGATTGTTTAGCCTAATTTCGAGCGAGTAAAGACAGCGAGCAGGCTTTTTTATGCTTTTTTTAAGCCGCGAAAACTTCACTTTAGTTATTTTTTAGACTTTAAAGTGAAATATTGGGAATCTTTTTTCAATTTTTTTCGATTACTTTAACGATTTTTTGTTTGTTTTTCTAGTCAATTTTCAAGAAAAACTATTATCAAATTGGCCTATTTTTCTATAACTGTCAAATATGTCTAGATTGTTGTTATTCGTTCAGATCCTTTATATCGCCACGCAGAAAAAAAAAACGATTATAATTTAAAAACTTTTTTTGTTAAGGCCATTGTCGGAACATTCTATGCTATTTGCCCAGTAACCGGCTATCCGTGTTTTTTGATTTAGAATTTTTTTTGAAATTTTTTATGTTTTCGTTCCATTGTTCTTTCCAGACTAAAGCAATAAATAGCGCCTTCACTATAAAATTTTCGAAATTTTGATTTTTTTCTGATTGCAATCACTCCTTTGCAATTATTTTGCCAATACTACAGTAAAAGTTGTTCCGATTTTCCTTTTTATTCACAAATGTTTCAAACGCCTGGTTAGAGTTTTTCAAGTGAGGTTTTATGAAAGATAAGGGTTAAAAAATGGCTAGATTTTACCTACTTATGTAATATTTCGAGTTTTACTAGCAAAAAACTGAAGTATGTCGCTGTTTGTTCAGTAAAATTTTACCACTGTAATTTGGTTTCTGGCACATATTTTTGCATCGCAAGTGTTGTGAATGTCAGATTCACCTCTGTGTAAACCTCTCTGCCCTATCTGCTCACCGACAAGAATGAAATCAAGGTTGTCTGCTTGCTGAAATCATACCCGATAATAACATTATTCGTAAACATATATGCTGCTCTGTGTTATAGGCTAATGAGCTGGGAAACCCAAAACAGAAGAAAGAAAAGAATACGCCTCCATTTTTTGAAGTGAATGAATTAGTGAAGCAGTACCTGGACAACAATGAACCCATACCTGTTCAAGTTATGGCCAGGCTGATAAAATGGCATTTGCTCTCAATCAAGTCAGCAGATTTGAAAAGGAAGGAAGACGAGAAAAAGGTAAAATGCTCTTGAATATGATGCTAATGACTATTTGTCAGTTTCAGAAGGAGGTTGCAATTCAAACCTTGTTTTCAGTTTTCGGCAGCTAATGATCATAATTAGCAATAAATTATCTTCTGAATTTGTTATTGGTTGTGTTGTCTTTTTTGGTTAAATATTACATGATTTTTAACAATGTTTTCTTATAAAAGTTATAATGAGGTTCTATAGCTTTAAAATTTTAAACCCTTGATTTCTCTTATTAGCAAGCAAAGATGGGCCAAATGGAGACCAAAACGTCAAACACATTGGCGAGATTAAAAAATAAAATGGAAAAATTACCGAAGTCTGAATCTGAGCATTCTTTAAAAAGTGCGAGCCACCATTCGAGCGTTGCCAATCTTTCAGACGATGAAAAGGGTAACTGTTCTTCTGCTGTAGTTTCTGATGCAGAAGAACTACCTCTAGACAATGAAGTTAAGTTTGAAGAATTTGTTCCGGCAACGGTGATTACTGATTTCGTTGACAACATGATGGAAACAGAGCGGAAGCGGAATAAAAGGGCGCTGAATTTACCGGATAACGCCGAGGTTGATTATTACTAGCGCACGATTAGCTATTTAAAACTAATGATATCGAACTTAAAGACTGTTTAGAACATTGCTTATTGATTTCTTGCATGAGATACTGTTAGTTTTTTCCTAAATGTTGTAGATTTCGAATTTTTTATACCAAATTTTTGAACTATGATGAGACGTATTTTAGAATGCAGACAAAAGCAAAGGGGGGCCGAAAGCAGCAGCGGGAGGCAAGAAAGGCGACCGACAAAAATCGGCTGCAAAAGGCGGTGGTGCTGCTGCCAAAGGAGACAAAGCGAAAGGAGCAGCAGACGTGCCCCCTGCTCCTCGAAAAGACACAAAGCTCAGAAAGAGGGGGGAGGATGACGATGATTCCAAATACATAGGTATGACTCAGTTCTTGAATTGTTTCTTCAGGAAAAAATTTGCATTACTGGTTCCATTGCTCCGAAATATACGAGGAAACATATTTAAACTGTTTAAGTGTTTGTCAATTGACCTTTCAATGCTGAAATTTGGTTGGTTCTTAAGGATTTTTGTTCAATTGTTGAGTATTGCAATAGTGTGGAGTTGAATTTTTTATTTTATTCTATATTAATTTTCGGATTTTTCAGACGATGAACCCGATGACGGCCCCCAACATTACGTCACAATTTTTGGCCAATCAGATGCTTTGCTGGTGCAGGCACTCAGTGACGTTGGAGTATACGTGGATACTGTTTTGGGTCTGAAGACGGACTCTTACGAGGGGTATGATCTGAAATTGAATGAGGGGCAAGGACCACCAAAGCCAGAGGAAAAGTTCGAAGAGCAGCTTACCAAAGCCCAACTAGCCCTAATTGCCAGTGAGTTGAATTAGACATTTCTGCTTTCCAGTATTCTCCCCAATGAGGAGTCCCAATTAAATAAACTAATTTAGTTAATCACATTTGCGATCAGCAAGGGTATTGCAATCGGGTACTAGACTTCTTCCCTTAAATAATTTTGTTCACAGGACTCATCTACCGTGGTTTATAATGAATTCGAAATTCTTAGCGTTCCCGGCACATTTAAGCCTGGATATAACGAATAAGCTTGGGATGACAAAGATCCTGAGCACGAAACTGATCAGGACCTGTGTTTTTCAAACGGGAAATATTCTGCTTCAAATAACATTTTCGGCCTATTCATTGTCTGCTTGTTTTTTGTCGGCTTAGTTGCCACATCTTAGACTCGTTTTTTTTTGTTGCACTCAATTTACATTGATTTTGCTGGTAGTGTTTTGATTTACTCCTGGAATTTGTAATTTTACTTTACCTTTTCCCGTATTTCCTTTCGTGTTTTTTTTTGTTTTGCTTAGAAACTTTATTCGGTCCAAATTTATACGGCCTTTTTTTATCAGTTTAGTGACTAATTTTGGGTCGTATCAAGGTCAACACAATTTTAATGCTCCCCTCCTCATTTTTTGTTGGTTTCAATTTTACCAACTCGGTTTGTTAAAATTTCAGTTTTTTTCGTTTTTTGTTCTCTTCGGCTTAATAGGTTTCGGTTTATTTTATGTTGGCTTAGTAGGCTCTTATTGTGTCGTTTGGTGAGCGAAAAAACTTTTTTGTGTGCATGGGTGTGTTCTATGGGTAAGAAATTAATTTATTTTAAAGTTTTTTTGAACTTAAAGAAAACTCGACTTGAAGAGTTTCTACTCAGGCAGTTTTGGCTTTGTAACCGCTTGGTTAGTTTTGTTCTGATGTTGGTTTTTTCATTTTATTGTCTGGACATGTTTTTTCAGCAATTATCTTCAGTCATTTTGATAGATATAGTCGTATCGCAAGTGGTGCGAAGCCAGCTTCGCCTCTGTATTTAGTTTTTCATTTGAATTTCAATTTATTTAAACGTAAAAATTAGCCACTGAAAATAATTGAAAAAATTTTAGTTTAAAGCAAAAGTTTCGTCAGCTAATCAGCTATTATTTTCAGGATTTGTTTTTTTCAGTTTTTTTCAGAATTGTAGTTTTCTATTTTTAAAGTTTTAAAACTCATATACGGGCCTTGTAAAACTTTTTTTGCTTGTCGCTTTTTATATGATAGCTGCTAAAAAAATTAGAATTCGGAAAAATAGAATTTGGAAAAATAGCCTAAAGTCATACAAAAGGTTTTATTATTTTATGAATAACTTGAGTTTTTAACAAAATTTTTGATTTGTCATAGTTTTTTTTTTAATTTTTTTTATCAGAAATTTTGAATATATTTGCGAGAGCAAGTGTCTTGTAATCGGGAGCAAGACTTTTTTTTATCGCAAACAATTTTTCTTACAAACTTGTAACAAATTGAACTTGTTTATTATTGAACCTTAACGACTTTCACTCTCCTTACCACTTGGTCTAGAAGTAAAGCGGTTGCCTCTGCACCCTAAGGTCTGTCGTTAGGTCCTTGCGGGACCTTGTTTTTCCAGTGTGCACGAATTTTATTTAAATTAATTCCGTGAAAAAATTGAATTGTTAGACTATTTTTGTCTGCTTATGTTTTGTCGGCTTAGTTGCCACATTTCTGTTTTTTGTTGAGTTGAATGCAATTTCGACTGTAGTTGTAAGTGTGGTTGATTTTTTTTGTAATTTGTAGATTTACTAATCTGTTTTTTTTATATTTTTCCTTTTTTTTTCGCTTCGCTTAAAAACTTTATTCGACTCAAATGGTTTCGGTTTTTATTTTAATGGCAGAGTTGACTTATTTTGAAATGATTGACGGGCGAAAAATGATTATTATTTTTGAAAATAATTCTGATAGTTTTTGTAAAAATTTTAAGTTTTAAAACTTAATCGATAAAAACTTTTATGACAATATTTTGTTGGGTCATTTCTTTTCGTTTTCTACTCAATGGGCGAGTTGCAAAAAAAGTATTTCAATGGATTTTTAAAATTTAGTTCCGTCTAATTTTCTATTCGCTAGCTTGCAATGCTACGGATGCATTGGTTCGCGACTGTTTGTATATTTAAAACGAAATCTTATACCACTCTGGTTGTTCGTAGTTCACTGTTTAAACACTAAACTTATTAAAGAGTCTTTAAAAATATGTATATTTCAAAATTTTTCACCAGTTTCAACATTTAGCAGCTAAACCTGAACCAAGTCCACAGCAAACTGTTACTTCGAAAAACGCAAACAAAACTGTTGCCGCTGGTAAACAAGCAACAGATAATAACAATCAACTACCTGTCCCCACTGGATGGCAGAAAAATATGTCACTGTTGAGTGTTCCTGCCAGTGAATACACCGGGAGTGGGGGAACTAAAGGCGTAACTGAGGAAAATGGGGGTGCAACTGGAAATGCACAAATTGGTGCTTCAAAAATAGCCGCTAATGACTATAAATCAGGTTTAGAGAAACTATGATCGTGGGACCCAAATAACATGGACTAGATTTAGCAGCAGCATCTTAGAGTTTAGCGAGTTATGTAGGTTATGTAGATAATTTGTGTACTTTTTGTCTTTTTCAGACTTCTTGACTGTATATGTTAACTGTTGTAGTAACTAGTTTTTAAGACCTGGAACGTACAAGTATAATTTTGCCTGAAGTAACAATTTTTGGACGCTACTACGCTGTTTTGAGAAATGAAAGTTGAAAACCAATCATTATAGAAATCAATCATATCTTAAATTAATTAGATAGTAATATAATCACTACAAAAAATATAAATAGATTTATAATGCTCTCAGTGTATGAAAAATAATATCGTCTGTTTAGAAAACGAGCAGGAAAAAGCGGAGCGGGATAAGCTGCAGTCTGTGTTTGAGAGGTTCTGGCAGGAACTTCCGATTGTGTTGAAGCAGGCTCCCTCACAGTCCAAAATCAGAGACACGGTCCAGTTGGATCAAGTGGTACAGTTCGAATCCATTCCGCCTAATGTGGATCTCGATTTAGACGAAAGAGTTAGTCATGACTGTTTTTCAGTTCTCGTTGTTGCTGTTGTTTTTATCAGCGCAAAAATTAAAATTCTATTTAAAACAAAGACATACTTTTTACGTGGAATATTGTACAAAAAATGTATGAATTAAATGTAATTTATTTTTGAATTTAAAAGATTAAAGCTACGGGTAAAGCCGGAGTCTTTTCTCGTTAATTAATGAAATTAATGATTGATTGGTGGGAATAAAAAGATATATGAAATTGGGCGAGCGGGTAGACTGCAAATTGGCCCATTTGAACTTTCGGCGCAAATCTATACTAATTTTGAGGGGGGATCGCGCGCCAAAAAAAAGCGATTTTTTGGTCGAAATTTTCCGAAAAATGCCTAAAAACGCCTTTTTTGGCCTTTTTTTTCAAAAATTGGCCCGCGGCGAAGAAAATTTTGTCAAATTAGGGTCTTTATAGTGTTTTGGGAGAGCTCAGATAATCTATTTGGTTGACCTAAAAAAAACTTTTCGAAATTCCGCCACCCTCCCTCGAGAAATTCCTAGAACCGCGCCTGCTTTCAACCAAGTGAACAATCTCCCCCTGAGTTTTTTTAGAGGGGAAATTGCTCACTTAGTCCTGAAAGTTCTATGTGTTCAGTTAAAAGAGTTAAAGGCTTTTGATCATTTTTTTTGAGCAATTTCTTCTGCATAATATCATTGCTAGTCCCGAACACTAAATGATCTGAAATCGTAAAGCAGCTGATCAATTCAATCTTAACAAGGATGATCTGATTTTTTCCAGGGTTCCTTTGGCGTGGATCTTTTTGAAACTACTGCATGCATTCTCTACGACATGTTCGACTGGAAGCGCCAGTACTACAACTACTTAGAAAACACTAACTTCCAGAACATTCCAGAAGTTTCTCACACTGTTGTCGATTACGTCAGCATGCCTGCAACGACTGCGCGTGAAGACCAGTCAGCGCCAGCCAAAGGTCAAACCGGTCAAAGTGACAAAGCGGAAAAGCAGGCGGGGGGAGCCGGCGGGAAGAAAGTAGTTGGGCCTGAAACGCCCCGAAAAGACGGCGACGGCCTGGACGAAAATCAGGATGCAGATTACGATTTTCTAGATCTTGCTCATCTGGACTTGAGTTTCTATAACGACCTGTTAGCAACCGTTCCCAGTGATTGCATAAGTGTGGAATTGACTATGCATTGCATGTTAGAACAAATAGCCTGTTCTTCAGCTCCGAGCGGGTCTTCGGTTCCCGCGGGTCAACCTAAGTTGCCAACTAGACCCGATGGTCTGGATGCCAGTCTGGCAGAACACCTTAGTGGACTGTTGCTGAAATTGGCTCTCAATGACGATGAGAAAAAAGTAATTTAATTTAAATCTTCTCGAAACGTAAAATTATTACTTGTAAAAAAAATTACAGAAAATTTCTGTGCAGCAAATGAATGATTAATTTTACTGAGCCTCATGGTTCTTGCTTTCGAATTCTGATTGACATCCGATTTCATTTAGGCTATTGAGGAGAAGCTAGCCTCGCACACTGAAGCGGAGAAAGAAAAGATGGAGACTAAATTAGTCAACTTCAAGGACAACCTGTCAATTAGATTGCATTCTCTCCGATCTGTACACGGATTCGACCCAGCTGCCTCCGAGGAAGCGATGTTGTCCCTCACACCTTCGGCCGCTCTGGTTGGCTAATTTATTCACATACATTTTAAAATGGAATCCGGTTGTTTTTTAATTTGTAATTCGCAATCTGGTTGACTAACTAGCAAACATTTTGAACTAGCTCAAATGCTTGCTTAATTTGCAGTCTGATTGCTTTGTAACTGGCGTGGAAAGATTTGACTTTTCTTATTTTTTACTAAGTTTGACCTCCTAAAATTATTTGAAAAATCTTAATTTGAAAATTTTTTTTGATAAATATTTGCTGTTTAAACGCTAAAACTCAACAAGACTGCTCGTATCAGGGCGAAGCCCTGAATGTTCCGACTGCCTATTAAGGTTTATGGAGCAGTAATAACATTAAAAAATTAAAAGTAATAAAACAAAATGAAATTTTTTTTTTAAATTTGAAATTTTTTAAAATAAAAATCATCCCCCCCCCACACACATCAAGGATAGATTTCGCTACTTGTAACAAATCAATTATGGCAAATAAGTTTCGTTAAACCAATTTGTAACGATTTCTAAGACGTATTAACTCTCCGCTTACGCGTTAATAGCGCGAAATATATCGCGCGTTAATTGTCGCAAATTGGCCAAAATCTTTAAACCCCCATAACTTTACGAAAAAAGATCAAATTTGAGCTCAGGACAACAATACCTTTCGAATGATATAAAATTCCGTCAAAAATGGCTAGTTAAAAAGTGGAAATTTGTCTGAAGAAAAAAAAACCCACCCCGAGCACAAATATTCCGTTACTTTCGTGTCGGAAGAATAAAAGTTTGCAAAGAGCTCTGATTGCTCCGATCAAAACAATTTTAGTTGAGAAATTGGAAAATAGGGGAAATTGAAAAAAGCTGCCAGAGTCTGAACTCTTCTTACGCGTTAATAGCGCGAAATATATCAAGCGTTAATTGTCCCAAATTGGCCAAAATGGCAATCTTTAAACCCCCATAACTTTACGAAAAAAGATCACAGGTGAAATATCTTTTCAAATTTGAGCTCAGGACAACAATATCTTTCGAATGATATAAAATTCCGTCAAAAATGACTAGTTAAAAAGTCGAAATTTGTCTGAAGAAAAAAACCCACCCCGAGCACAAATATTCCGTTACTTTCGTATCGAAAGTCGGAAGAATAAAAGTTTGCAAAGAGCTCTGATTGCTCCGATCAAAACAATTTTAGTTGAGAAATTGGAAAATAGGGGAAATTGAAAAAAGCTGCCAGAATTCAATTTTTTCCGGAAACTTATCATATTTTTCGTAACAAATCCACTTTTTTCGAAAGGAGAGATTGCATTAGATATTTAGGCCTATGAGATGCAACCGGGCTTAAATATTTTTTCCCTTGAACAATTAAGTTGTATTATCTCAGCTCTATTTTTACCCACTCCAATTGATAGTTGGCATCGATTTAAGTTTTTGATGTTTTTTAAAAGTTGATGAACTTAGTTCAGACTCTTTTACAGGGTGTGATGATTTGTTTACCTCTTAATTTAGAAAAAGTACTAAAATTGCTTCTAGTTCAAATTTATTTTTTTGCGGTTTTGTTTTTGATTTCTTTTCAAGTTCAGGTCATTTACTTTGTTAAAATCAAGGCAATCTCCCCTGTCGCACAGCGAAAAATGTGATCTCCCTGCGATATGGAAAAAAGATTTCCCAGCGATATAAAAAGTTCGATCCGTTTTTTTTTCGAGATAAATTTTTTTACTTGATTGACTTTTTGCTATCTAGCTTGCCATGCTATGTTTCTGATATCGCATGTAATGTAAAGAATCGTTCGCCTCTGTGTGATATCGTGCTCCAATCATAGATAATTTAGTCTGAAAAACGGAAAAATTCAGGCCAGTTTTTCTCGACACAGACAATTTTTATTTAAAAAATCAAAATTACTACCAGAAGGGCTTTGATTTAACACCATACTTGAACCCTACAAGCTTTCCTTCAGATGCCTAAAGTCGGGCCAATGAACCCAGCCCTACGCCATACTTCCTTTTAGTTTTTTTTTATCGACCCCCTGGCCCAGCTCCCACCTTTCAACCCTGGATCCTTTATTCCGTGGTAGAGGTGTCATCACTTTGCCGCAGCCGGTCCCATCTTGAGGAGGTGGATGACACTGGGACCCCTTCAACCATGACCGAAGCGGGATTCGAACCCACTACATCTGTGTTAAAGGCCTGTAAAGTAACTAGTCACTGAAAATGACTAGTTCTTTTTAGTCACTTTCAGTGACGTGTCGGAACAAAAATGTACAGAAAATGAGATTTTTTATTCTAGTAACTGGATTGATTTTGATTTAGCTGAACTATCCGCAGCCTTCAATTGAGGAGCAGCAGAACATAGCTGGCAGGTTCCAGGAGGTCATGATGCATTGTGCCCAGGGGTCAATGAGTCAAGCGGAGGTCAACCATGCCTTGAAACAGTTCATCTTCGAGTGCATTCAGGTCATAATAAATTTGAAAAAAAGCTTGTCAGCAATAATTAGCATTCAAAAACGGCACTTTGAATTAGTTATAAGTTTAAATTTAACTTGTATTTCTATTTAAATTTAAATTAAAATATTATTTAAATTGAAATATATAAATAGTGGTCAGTTTCAATTTCGCGATTTCAATTGTCATTTTCCTTTTGGAGGTTCAAATGGAAATATTTAAAATGCTTTACCTTGTCTAGAGAATCGAGTATATATCGGTAAATGGTATCATTTATTTTCAAATATTGAACCAAAGAACCTGCCTGTTAATTTGAACGGCCTAATAGTTAGAAATTCAATCCACTTTTGAATAATTTGAAATGTGAATTACGGTGAAAGCGTAACTTAATCGCTGAAATTTAAATATGTATATTTATAAAATAGGTCTTTTGATTATTTAATTTATTTAATAAAACAGCTCCTCAGTTATTGTCATCCTAACTGCGCAGTGTTCTGCAATACGTTCGTCAGTACCGTCTTCTAATAAGATGTCTACAAAATTGTGAATGGCATCAAGGCAGAGAAATCGCGCAGAAAATTGACAATTTATTGATCGGACAGCTTTGTTCCTTTTCATTTGTTGTAAATATAGTTGTAATGAAAACTCTTCTTCAATTTTCATTTTTTCTAGCTCAAAGAGCCCGATGAAAATGGACTTGTTCTGACTTCAAATGAGGGAGGCGAACAACTCCTTGTACCATGGGACGATCCCTACCCATTTTCAACAACAGAAAACGCAGCTGAAGTTATCGCAGCTCAGGAAAGGAAGATATCAGAGGCTGATCATTCTAGGCCCAGTTCGGTTGGAGGTGCTAATGCGCAGGGGGGCATTTTGAAAAGGTCAGCATCCGCTGGTAGCAGTAAAAACGCTTCCGGTAAGTCAGAAATTAGTTTTCGATTCGCAAAACAGCTATTTGATCTTTTTGGAAATTTTCCTTATTGTGTTTTTTTACGCATCCTCAAATCATGAAAACACTTTGCTCCCCTTTTTGCAAGAGAAAGGGCCTATTTTAGTATCGATTTGTAAACTGAATTGAAATTTGGAGAAAAATGAATCATAAAAAAGGAAATACTAAACGTTTGTGTTTTTTTACGTTTGTTTTTTTTTGGCATGAAGCAGACCCATCTGCAAACTCGGCAGCATTATCGTTGCAAATAAGTGATGGTATGTTTTGTAGCAATAATTTGTTTAGAACTAAATTTAGAAGTTTAGATTTTAATTTAGAAATATAATGCTGACACTTTATATACTTTGGAGAAAAAAGTAATGCAACTAGTTAGCTAAAAAGCAAGAAAAACAAAAAAGAATCTTAAATAAACACTTTTTAAAGTGGTTAGTATCATTTTAGTTTCGCCCTCAGATATTTATCTGCCCATTAATGATTGTGGTGAGTTAAATAGTATAACAGCCAAAACAAATTCGATTTTTATTCGATTTAAAAAAACTACATTTTCAAAGCTCTGACTCGCGACTCCTTTCTGAATTTTATAAAGTTTTTCGATACCGCACCAAAGAAAAAGATTTTAAATTAACGTTTCTTTTTTTTCCAGAGTAGTTTTAATAGGAATAATTAGTTCACGACTAACTATTAATGTAGACTTAATGCACAAACAGGTTTTTATTTTGAAGCTTGCTATCCTATGTTAGAACTTAGAATTCGGGTGATTTTCTCTGCAAAATAAAGCAATATGAAGAAGCGTCAAAGGTTAAGCATTTAAATGAGGAAAAAAGAAAGTTATTTAATTTTTGCCAATATATCGGTGGTTAGCTCAGCGACCGGTTATTGATGCAGTTTTTCAGATAAGGACAATAAGAATATTTCTCAATTAAAAAAAAATTTTCATAGCTCACCGTTTTCGAAAAAATTGTCTGGTTTACTTTTGCTTGAGATGATCTTTTCATCAAACAATTTTCAGCTATAAAAAACTAATTTTGACAAAAGTTTTCCGTCTTGTTAAAAAAACTTGGTAATATGTGTGAGTTTGCAAAATTTTCAGGTTGTCGAAATTGAATTAAGTCAATTGCTTATGCTTCTGATTAGCAAGCATTATTGAATTAGAATACAGATTTTTTTCGGGTTGGCCAATTGTTGTTCCGATCATTGGGGGTGTTTTTTCTTTTTCCTCACTTCTTTTTTTTTAATCAGGTACCATAAAAAGTTTTTGGAATAAATCTAGTGATAAATCATATTAAATCCTTGTCAGCCGTGATTCAAACGGCCTCAAAAAATTCCTAAAAAATGTCCCAATGACGAGAAAAACGGGTTTGAAAACCGAGTTTTAGTTTTGGGTGAGTGATCTTCCGTGTTTTAGGAAAGCGAGTGAGTGATCTTCTTTATATGTATATTGCTCATTTAGGCTACAAAATTTGTATTTACTAAAAAAAATTAGTTTTGAGAGTTCAATTAGCGTTTTCTTCGCAAAAAATTTTTTTGAAAAAAATATAGCGCAAAAAAATTGATAAATTTAAAGAATTTTGGAATATGATTTCGTTTTTTGTTTGGTTTTTAATTTTTGAGTACAACTGTTGTTGATTAAGCTTTATTTACTAACGCCTACGCTTTTGTGTAGTTCTTTTTTCACGCAACGCGCAAAATACGACACAAATATAAAGAATAATTTTTTTCAGAGTGTTTTGGAACATTTTGTGCTACTTGCAAAATAACCGACTATCCGTGTCTAAACAAATGATAAGGAAGCGTTATCAAATTAGAATATAGTCTTTTATCTGGTTTAGAACGTGTTTAATAAGACCAGGGAATCATTTGCTCAGCTTAGTTTAATAATATGTCAAGTTCGAGTCCAATTTGGCTCGCTTAGTGTGAAGATAACTTCAGAAGACAAAGCTAATGGTTCAATTCTACCCAGGAGCTGATTTTTTTTAATGTAAAGTGGTTAAATACGGGACTTTTGTTTGACTGTTTAGTTTCAAAATCATGCAATTTTTTTCTGGTTGATGTGAGTTTTGATTCTTCCTGTAATTTATACATTTACGACCTCTGCTGCTGTTGTATAGTTTTTTCCTTTTTTTACTTTATTTTTTGTGCTCAAAAGGTTTATTTCGCTTCACTGGCTACGGAAAATGTGACAGAGCCTTATTATTCTTAAACTGCGTCGTTTTAAAAGGTAAAGTTAGATTTTTTGATTTGGTATGTTACAAGAGGGTAAACCTTTGAGTTGAAAACTTTTAGCTCAAAATATTTTGTGGTTATATTTTTTGTTTCAACGATTAAGTACTCAATTTGTAATGGCATAGGTGGCGCTCGATAAATTTTTCTGAATGCTAATTTAAGAATGTCGATTGCGTTTCTCGGAAAGTTTTTCTCAAATTGAACATCATCTGAGACAAACGTATTAAGTTCGCAGTGTTGGTTTTAAAATTATGGAAAAAAGTTTTGACATTTCGAGTAAAGTAAAACTATTATCAGTGTTTTGTAAAATTGTAAATCAATTAACTTTGATTGCAATCAATTGTTAAACAACTAAAAAGGCAAAAAATGTTTCCAATCAGCAATTTGATTGCATTTAAATTTTATCATTGCAGCTCGTATCACCACCAAAGGCCTCATAATACTATTGTACTTGACCCTGCAAGTAGTTTTAAGCTGAATTAGCGTAGAAAAACATAGCAGATACTAAAGTTTTTCTTCACCTTCGGCAATTATAGTGTGTGCGAAGGAGCTCTCACTTGACCTCTTCAGGTCTGCAACAGCCTGACCAATTTCGGCTGCAATAGTGGTACCACATGAAAGTTCTAGAAACGAAAACGGCCTTGAGTCACGAAAAAGCCTCGCCCAATAGATATAACAGAGTTTGGAATGTGGGAGAATAAAAAGAACTGACTATTCTTAGACATGCTAGATAGCCTTTTCATAGATTTTCTGCTATCGCTGAAACCTAAAAGAAAAGAATGGAAAATGATTTTCTGTGAAGTAGATCAAAGCAGGCTTATAATATGCAATTGTTAACTACTAGTATATGATTTTCCAAACTAGTGCCTATTTTAACCAACTAATAAATAATTCAAAAAATAACTTATCGAAGTGAATTATCAGATATTTGTCTGTTCAAAATATTAACTAGAATTCTCATTTGAAATCCCGAGTTGAGGTTTTGACTTTATGCTGCGACCAGCGCGACCAAAAACTTTCATATTTCGACCGGTGCAACCAAAATATTCAATGTTTCGACCAAGTTCGACCGAACCGTATATGTTTTGACCAATTTTGACCTCGCAAGTTCCAGTCGTTATATGTTTCGACTATAGGCACTGAGCGACTTCTGGATTTTTGGTCGCACAATGACATCTGGTTTGACCCCTTTGGCCGAAACATAAAGTTGAACCTCGACCCGGGATTTGAAATACGCTAAATATTCTCCTTTCAATATGAAACAGTCGTATGTGGCTGCTCATCATCGTTTCAGCTAAATTAAAATTTTATTTTTAGTCTCATTTGCTGAAATTTCATCGCCTTCAGGTTTGCAGATTGCGTGTAAATAAGTTGAATTGTAATGCGCTTCCAATTTCATATCGATTGCTTAATGTTCTGCTTAAACATCCTGCATTTTTGTCAACTAATAAAAGTATAACTTCGAAATTACGCTGAAAGTGCGTTTAAAATTTGGCTGTGTAAAAAATTTGAGTAATGAGTATAAAAAAAAGATTTGTAATAATTTAATTTTTACAGTTTTTTGAATTGTAAAAAAAATGAATTAATCTAATTTTCCTCGTCGTTTGGTTTGCATTAATTTATTTGTCGTGTGTCAAATTGCTAACAACTCTAAATTGACCTCAAAAACGCGATCATTATTTCACGTTTGGTACTTTAGGCTATCCTCCTGAATTAGGAGCTCAAGACAAAAATGACGTCATTGCTGACGCTGATTCCGGGGAAAAGGCTTCGGACGATGATTCGGCAAACGGAAACGCTGGATACGACACGACGCTGCAACCGCCAGCCATCACTCGGAGCTTCTCGGATCTAGCCGAGAACAAGTTGAGAAATCTAGACGAGTGGTGTTACGTCGAAAGATTTGAGCGCAACGTGTTTATTCAGGTTATTGAGATAGTTTACAAAGATGTAAAAGTTCGGACAGACAGAGAAAAAAATAAAGAACGAGCAATTTTTTCAGTTTGAAAGAGTTATTAACTAGTCCATGTAGCGTCTCATTTTTAGTTTTTTTTATTTTTTATTTTAGGTTCTGGAGGAGGCTAAGTATCATCTTCCCCTGTTGGAGGCTTACTACTGCAGAAAAGACAACACGCTCCTATTGACACTCTACAACCCCACAGATCAAAACCAGTTCAACTGCCAACACTCATTCTCATACTTGCACACTGACATTGGCTTTAGAAACTACCTGCACTACATCAAGGTTAGCTGCGTAACCATAATTTGACCCACTGAAAGATCGGAGCATAACAAAATTTTTATTTATGATACGTTTTTAAAGAAAGTTGAAGTCGAGTGGAAAAAATCTGAAACAGCGTCCTAATATTAAATTTATAAAATTAAGATTTTGAGAAATTTTTCGCGAAAAAAATGTCGCCATATTTTTTCCAAAGTTGGGGGCTGCCAAATTTTTTTTTTCAATTTCAACTCGATATTTCAGTCAATTTGATTTGTGTTAACTAAGTGCTCTATTTGATTCTTTAAAACTATTGTAATAGAAAATAGGCGGCTTGAATATAAGATTATTGAATAATTATAAATTATCTTTTTAAGATCTTGAAATTCTACCTTTTTAAAAAGTTTTAAGAGTCTGTTCGGCCCAGTTATCTATTCCAAAAAACGGATTTAGTCTTTTTTTAAAAACGCTATTTTTTCAATTTTTTCAAAATTTTGCCTGCGGTACAAAAATTTTGGCCAAAACAGGGTCTTTTCAGTGCTTTGGGAGAGCTCGCAAAATTATGTTGGTCGACAAAAAAACGTCGGAAAATCATGTTGGTTGACAAAAAAAAATTTTTGGTAATTTTTTCAGGAGAAAATAGAAGAATGGACAGAAAAAGAGGAGCAGAAATACGTGCAGGTATTGGCCGAGAAAGAGAGACTGGCTGCCATGTCTCCGGGCACAGCTGCTGCGGAACACGCTGCCACCGAGGACGCCAACAGTGCCGGGGGAAAGGGGGGCAAAAGGTCCCGAAGTCAGAGCCCCAAAGGAGGCGCTGGTAGAAAAGGGTCTGGTAAGTAAGCTCTTCGTTTCTAGTTAACTCACCAAACCGTTCATGTGTTATTCTATTTATGAAAGCAAAATATCTACTTTGAACCACTTTTTTTTAAAAAAAACGTTGTTTCTGATTTCAAAATCGAACATCACAGAAACGTCCGTTGTTGATCAAACGTCAGATCAAACACCTGAAAGCTTCGATATTTTTTTAACAATGATTAGGCGTAAGCATCACTTGAGCAGAAAAAAATGGTTGTTTAAAGAGATAATTTTTTTGATATACGCATTTGTATTTTTTACCGCAAAAGCTAGCATGTGCTTGATGAAAACTTCTTGTTTGTTGGTGCCAGTCTCATGGCGAGTGAATTAATTATGGATTCATCTAAAAATGTATATATAATGAGTTATTTTTTACGGTTCGATTTTTTGGTTTCTTCTTCAAATCAATTCAAATTAATTTGCTAGATGGCAGGCAATTTCAACTCCTGATTTATAAAAGCTCAATTGGCACGAAAAAACGTTATAGGATTTCTATTACTACTTTAATAAGTGTCGTGCCATATTACGTGCGAGTGTCGTGCCATATTACGATTTTATTTTCAACCTAATTCGCAAATAAATGTGCTCTTTTGGTGACACTATTGCTTCAATGCTTAGCATCGGCAATTTAATAGTATCTGTATCTGCTTTACTGGTGGCTACTGTTTCGGTAGCTGCTTTACCGGGGCTACTGTTTCCATAACAGTTTGCTACTGCTTCCATATATCTAAGCAACTATGGCGCACATGCGATGAAATCAGTCTCCTAAGCTATTTGTAGAGGGTTCAAGTTCAAGACAAGAGCCAAATTTTTCTCATTTTTACCTTTTATTTTCTTATTTCCATTATACATAACAAGAGCAGCTTTTCACCGTTTTATCGATAGTGCAATTTGCCTCTGTGCAGCTTTGCCTCTGTGTCATAATTCCTGAGAAAATATAAAATGTGTCAGTTCAACCTGTTTTTACACAAGCCAGCTAGCGAGCGTAGTGTTAGCTTATGAATCCACTTTTGTCTACCGAAATCACCTAAAATAATTTAAAAATTGATATATAAACTTTTGTGCTCACTTTGTTTGCTTTTGGTGCTAGGCATTGACAATTTATTTGCATTTCTTCGATGAGCTTCATTGTTGGCTAGTGTTTATTTAATTCAAGCGCTAACGGAGGGCACATAGACTCGTAATATCGAGGTTGGTAGTTTGATTCCGGCAGATGGCTAGATTTTTATTTTTCAAAAGCTCTTTGTGGCCTTGTTTTTTTAAACTATTCACGCCTTTTGGAGCTCCACTGTTTTTTTGCTTGTGTTTGCAAACTACAACTTTGCCGGTGTCTCAAATCGGGATAATTTAATAACAAAGATTCGGGAAATTCAAAGAGCATTAAAGTCGTATATTTTTTCTTTGAAACTCGAAAGCTGAAGTTTTTTGTTCTCTATTTTTGTTATCCTCGAGTTTAATGACAGTCCAGCTGTCTGCTGGCTATAGTAACAGCTTATTTTGTAAAACTCAAAAATTTTCTGTGATCCTCTCTCACGCACACCACGGACACATGCAACAGTTATCCAGCTCTAGCGATTGTCAATTGATTTCGCGCTGCATTCAACAACGGATGATCCAAACAACTTCGACGCTTCGCCTATGGTTTTGTTTATGCGACCGTCAAAAATTTATGTTAAATTTAATTGGGCAGAGTTTTATGCAAAATTAGAAAGTCACTTATCACTATTAAATTTCAGATGAGTTTGAGTTAGGTATCATGTGTAATCTTTTTTAGTCGTCATTCGAAGCTCGATAAATATCTCCTCAAAATTTTGCCAATATCCAGAAAGTAGGACTAATTTAAAGCGAAGAGAGGATAAACATTAAACTTCTTTGCTCGTAAATAAAGTGACGTACGTTGTTTTTTTCCTTTTTGGTTTCTATGTAACGTAGAATATACATTTTTTTATTAAACTTTTGCTTGTTTGCAATAGAATTTTTCGTATAATTAAGTTTGCTAGACCAAACATATAGGATCTTCATACACGAGCATGTAAAAGGTATGAAGATACTTCATTACACTTGCGATCAGCTTAGTGTGTTGTTACGAGCCTTCTTTTTTTTCTAACCCAACTCGCAAATAAAAAGAGATCAATTTATTTGGAAATTTCCATGTAGCATTGAAAATTGCATAGCATCTGTCCTCTGCTTAATTTTTGGCTAGTGTTTCGTAACTATTAAGCTTTTGTGGCTGAGAAGTTAGTGTGTGAGTCTCTTAATCTCTAGGTCGCAGTTTCGACTCTCAGAGGTTGACGAATTTCCTACTTATTCGAGGCTCATTTCTTATTTTTAGTATTGCCCCTTATAGAGCTGCTTTTTGTCGTTTTCTCGCAAGTAGTGTATGCAAAGCGAAGTTACGCCTTTAGGTAAAACTCATATTTTTAAAATTCGGGGAAAATTCATCGCGCCTCCCTTCTCTCCCCCCTCCCCAAAAAAAATTCTCAGCCATCTTTTGATGAAAACTTTTTGAAATTTGACTTTTTCTCGTAATTTTCCCAGTATCCCAGGATTGGTAAGAATTCAACCTCAAAATATGAGTAAAATGTTGAATTAATGCTAAAACAAATAATAAATGAGGTTGTTTGGATCAGAGTTAATTAGTTGCTCCTTTTTACAATTGAAACTACTCGTTCTACTCTGAATTGCTTTAAGAGATCAGCAAGTTATTGACTTCTTTTGACTTAAAAAACACCTCCTCTAACCTAGCTTTTCCAAAAATTTTGCTAAGTTTTCTTGAACTTACCTTAAGATTCCTTCAGTTTTTAAGGTAAACATTTACGTTAAGTAATTTTAAGGTAAAGATTTACCTTAAGTAATTTTAAGGTAGACTTGAGGTAAATTGGCAACCACGTACCTTAATTGACTTAAGGAAACTTTACCTCAACTTTTTTTAGAGTATGAGCATGATAACGCTGCTGTAAATTGGTCTGAAAACTAAAAACTTTCGGACCTGCTTTTCTCGGCACTGAAAAAGTTTTCGTGCCAGAGAGGGATCGAATTTGATTCGACACTGGAACCCCCACAAGATTTTTTGAAGTACTGAATTTTGATTGAAAAAGCCATCATGAGTGATTGTTTTTTTTTTTCAATCTACGAGAGTTGTCGCTAGAAGAAACGAATTTTTTTGCTATTTTTTTGGAAAGATGATTTCAATCACAACGGACATTTTGTGCTACTTGCATACCAATTAGTCGTTATTATTTTTTTTCTATGTTATTCACGATACTTAAGAATGCTTTTGAAAACCCTTTTTAGACTAAAATAGCTAATAAGTATGCTTGCTTGAGAGCTTTGACACTTTTCGCTACAAGAAGAGTTAATTCGTCTTGAAAAATGATGAACAAAGTTTTCATTTTTTCTTTTGGCGGGGCCGCATTATCAGGAATCCGTGAAAATTAAATATTTGATTTTTCAATTGTGGATATAAGGATAGCAGTATGATAAAAAAAATCATTTAAACATGAATGGGGCTCTTTTCCACTCCCCCATTCAAATATCAGTTTTACATTGTCATAATGTAATGAAATTTTGCATGGTGAACAAACCGACAATTGTGAACAAATTTGTCCTTGCTACCTGACATTGTAAGACCACGCATTCAGCAAAGAAGGAAAAGAGCCATAGATGGTTTCCTGAAGAGGAATTTATGACCATTAATTATTTGGAAATTGCTTTTACTTTAGTTTATATGCGTCTCCGAGCTTTTCAAAAATGCCCCATAATTTGTATTTTTTCTAAGGACCCAATCTATTGGCATCGCTTTTTCGAATCACTTTTTGCTCTCGATGCTTTGACGCAAATAGCAGCTTTTTCTGCTTTTGTATTCTTTAAAAAAAATTTGATCCGCTTTCGCTGATACTGTGCGACCGACCGCATTCATTGCCTCTTTCGCTTAAAGCGGGCCATTACACTGGACCCGTTCTTCGTTCTTGTACCCGTATGGTACATTTTCAACTTCTTTACAGCTCCCAGGAGTAAGTCTCCAAAAGGAGGCAAGGAAACCTCAGCTGGCGATGACTCAGAGGAGGAGAGAGAAGACCCCTCTGCTCCGAAGCCCTTCATGAGGCCGAATTCTATGAAGCAGTGGAAATTGGAGCAGGACAAAGTGAAGGAGGCAGAGGAGAAGAAGAGGCTGGAAAAAGAGAAGGGCCAGGCAGGGGCCGAAAAAGGCGCCAAGGTCAGTGCTCGCAACTTCATTACGAGGCCAAACTGTATTTTGTGAATTGTAAACGGATTCCGCAACAAGGACGCTCTATTTGATCTTCGTCTATTTTTTTGTTTTCTTAGATCGGTCCGACAAAATTTTAACATGTTTAAAGACTTGTCTGTGGGTTCCAGAGACATATACACACCAAATTGTGCGTCTATCCAGTGCACAGTTTGGCCTCGTAATATTTATTTTTCTAGATTCAGTGAGTAGTTGGCGATGATAGTGGGGTGATGACGTTACGATAGTAGCTGTGAATTGTGCAGATCAAAACCGATGATTTGAAAACCAAGAACTGAAGCGAGTTTTATATGGAATTGATGCTTTTTTTGCTGCGTTCTTTGAAGTTAATGTACTGCAAAATTTGCCTCTGAATTTTACTGACCCTTTTGCTTGACATGATTTTTTTCTTGTCTTAGTTGTTTGGCGGTTAAGTTTAGTTGATATTGCTCGTTGAATTGTAAAGAACTTAAAATGAGTTTTTCCAAAATGCAGACTTTTAGCGAAAGATTTTTGGCGAGAGAATTTGATTTGAAACGAACCTTCAATAATCAATTATGTAAGTTCATTTTTGAGCTGTGGCTTTATTTTTTTTAGGGAAAAGCCTCGGGTAAAAAGGGCTCGGGAAGTCCTTCGGGTTCCCGAGAAGGCAGTCGGTCACGGTCCGGGAGTCGAGGGGGAGGAGACAGTAGGAGTGCGAGCAAAGAGAAAAAAGGTAAGATTGACGCTACAGTCTGTCCAACATCGCTAATTTTTCATTTTTCGAACTAAAAGACCCTGTGTTTCCCATATTTACCCCTGAGATTAAATCACCTCTATTTTCTATCATTATGCTTGTTTCTTAAATTTATAGGCAGGTTTTTAGAAAAACGTTTTTTTTTTTTTCAAAAAAAAATGTCCAAAATGACATGTTTAAATTGGAAATAAATTAATATTGCAGTAATTAAATGAGTCAATTTGTTTTCAAACGTCAATCAAATATCAGAAATGACCGTCAAATTATAAGAGCTATCAGTAGTTTAATTTAACCATTACCAGGTAAGAAGGGATCTAAAGGAGCAGCGGGTGATAAGAAAGGCCAAGAGGAACACCCGAGTGGCTCCGAGAAGCAGGAGGTTGTTCCGAATGACGTCATTGCCGAAATGGTGCAGAAAGAGGTTTGGTTCAAAAGAAAACTTATTGTTAAGGGAAAGAAATAGAATGCGAACAGGTGTTTGGCTCCCACGTGACGAGTTGAACAAAACCTACATTTCTTTGATGCATGAATAAAATAACGGGTCAAAGCAATTTTCAGCAGTTCTGTGTTTAGTTGTTCTCATATGTTCGGTATTGAATTTTCTCAGGTACATATATTTGTCCTTCGCATACATTTTTTTCGTGCGTTATTGCGCTGCTAACACTTCTACGAATTGTCCAAAATATGTTAGATAATGCAATTGCGTTGCACTTATAGTGCGATATTATCATTACTCAGTCTGAAATATGGGGCAATAATACAAACGGACTAGGCTTAGACAGGCTGTATAGCCTTTCCCAGATTCTCTGCGAATCGCAGAAACCTCAATTACTATGATTATTATTACTATTATTATGATTAGTATTATTATTATACTTATTTCAGTTCAACGGGTACAACCTTGGCGACAACATAGTACATTACTCTGGCAAGACCTCTGGACTGTTTCCGTGTGATGGAGCACAAATTAGAATCGAGCACTCAACATTTGCTGAAGGTTGGTTGCACTATTTTCGTTGTTTTACCTAGGTTTGTAATATATATATTTTTGTAAAATATGAAGTACTTCGCTTACAGTCTCTTTCATTTTTTTTATCGCACGTGGTGAGAAGTTCTGCTTCGCCTCTGTGTTTATTTTTTTCGTACTCAAAAAGTACCTTGTTACATTTCTTGGCTTGATCCAGGATCCAACCAGGTACTGTTGACTCTGCTCGAAGGAGCCAACGTGCTCAATTTACACATCGGCCAGCCCAAAGACATCTCAGACTTGGAAGCCAATCAGCACGAGAAGGAAACTGAGGTGAATGAAGGAATCACTGGGGCCGCAGAAGGAGACCGGCAGCTGGTGGACTCCAAGACGAACTTAATAGGAGGGGGTAGTTTGGAAAACTCAAAAGTGGATGCAAGTCTGTCAAATTTGAGTGATCCTTCACACTCAAAATCTGGTATGCGTTCATTGAATCTAATTTATACATAAATATAACGCAGTTCAACTGTGTGAAAAGAGTCGAAAAGAATAAATTGGATTATTCAAGTTTTATGACGTTCTTTTCTAAAAATATTAACTCTTTTAATTTGATATAAACTTTTTTTAAATTTTTAGAGGTTCAAGCTTCTAGTTGATCTTCTGGCAATAGATATTAATTAATGAATAACCCTTTGCTGTAGAGAACTAGGAAACTATAATTTGATCAAATGTGATTTCAATACTTTAGGTCCGCTTGCCCTGGAGGAATCCGCTCACAACTTGGAGATCTCGGTGTCCAAAGCGTCCCCCACCCACGGAGATAAAGGGGAGGAAAGTATGCATGTGATGATGAATGGGCTTGCTGAAGGGGGTGGGGACGACGATTGTCAGCAGAAGGATAGACGAGACCCCAAGGATAGCGGCAAAGGTTTGTTGTTTAAAATTAAGAAACTATGAACTGAAGCTATGACGAATAACAAACAGACTAGTCTGAAACACTTCAGCATAAGAATAACTAAATATGTTAAGAATGTGTTTGCAAGGAATTCTGCTCTCGTACGCTGTTCGCAATCTTGTACGATGATGGAATGTATCCTGGAACCTTGAGTTTTTGTTTGTCTCATGAAGTAAATATGTTCGAATTTCGGAGGAGCGATTATATAGTGACTTGCAACTGTTGTTTTTGTTTTTAGCACCGAGTGGGCGCGTCCGTCATGCTCAAACCGAGCCCTAAAAACGTCGCGACTTCGGTCGAACGAAACTACAAGTCTCTTGGGTTTTTTTAAAAGTCGTGTTCTGGGAACATATTAAAAGGTGGAGAAAAAAGTAGGGAAGGACAGTTGGGGCATTTTTTTTTGGGGGGGGGGGGGGGGCGTTTGGGGTGAATACGGATCTGGTACGTGTTGAGGAAATGGCTGTAATTGACCTCAACTGGGATATGGTTCTCCTATGGGAACGAGGGGGGGGACTCTTCAGTTGGGGAGATATCAGGTGGTTTGAGAAAGAGAACTTTTGGGGGATTATGCTTTCGATATGGCCTGCCTGAAGTTATATGGATGCAGTTGATTGAAATAATTGAAAGTTGTATTGGTCTTTGTTTTGGATAAGATAGATAAGTGCATTTATTTAGAGCAGGGATGGCCGAATATTTTGTTGACTCTTATGTATGCAAACTGCGTAACCAGTAGATGATGATGGTGGTCGACGTTTGAAATTTTACATTCTGATTCATAATTGCTTTCATCTTTTTGCACCCTGTTATCACACGGAGAGCAGCGTTTGCTAGAGTTTGTAATTTGCTTAATGATCTTGTACTGGAAACGTGGGACCGGGCAGGGCTAGCATACTCAAAACCAAGTCTAATCAAGTCTTCAAAAATGAAGATTCAAGTTGTTTTGGAATGGCCCCAAGAAGTTTCGGATAAAAGGTTTTTTTTGAAATAAAAATGTTTTAAGTATTAATATAAATTTCAGGAGGTTGTATTATTGTTGCTGGATTTATAAAAAAAAATAGAAGTCACCCGCGTTTGGTTGCAGTTTTACAATGGGGGCTGAAATAACGGAGCGTTATGTGATAATACTTGAAGAAAAAGGAAGATTTAGATTTATTTTTGTTAAACATGCTGTTGCTAAAGGACCACTTCTTTGAGGTGGAATGTACAAATCTGGATTCTGGATGTACGATCTGGATTCTCAGGTTAAGCTTGAGTGTTTTTAATTGCTGTTTGAGTTTTGTCTTTTTTGTGGGTTCTTAGATTAGTATACTGCACAATAAAACTACGTGCATTCTCTCCTGCTGGAGATAGTTTTTAAATAAATATTATTTGGGTAGCTTTCTGCCATAAACTTGGTACCAATTAGCGGTCAGTCAATTTTAAAGAACATACTGGATGACATGTGGTGACTTACTGTTGATGTAAATTCTTGTTGTTTCTTTTATTTATCTCTGAGAAGTTTTGATCAGAATTTTTTTATAACACTCCTCAAAATAGGATCAGATGGGTTAGCAAGTTTTTTTCTCTCTTTGTGCATATTTTTCTTTCTAGTTTCCCGCTTAAAACAGTTTAAAAGATGGCATTGAAGATTCCACTCGCGTGTGGTCTTTTCTTATAATAAATTAGCTAGGATTCAACGAAGTAGTGCGATTTTTTAAATTCAACTTTGTATTTGGTTGTTGAAAAACGGCAATTTGGATATAGTATTCTCTCATCAAGGCTGTAGTTTCAGTTGCGTGTCTAGAGATGTCTTTGCCTATCAGGTTTAGCATGATCAGGAATTTAGTTGAGAAGAGCTTTGCTTTGTTGGTTGTTGACTTGCTTGAATCAGGACGTACGTTCGAAGTTGGATTAGAAAGAAGGGACGACATGATCCTTAGAGGGGAAATTGTTTTTGAAGGAGGAATAATAACATGCTGGAGCGAAAAATTTGGTTTGTTAGTCCTAGGGGATGTAGTATATAGAATCAGTACAAGTGGGACGATGGAAGTTTTATGGTGCTCTGAGCTTTTTAAAACCACTGTATTCAAAGTCGACTCATCTACATGCGTAGCACCAAATGCTTGCTTCGTTTCGTTAAATTTTTAGATTTGCAAGGGGAGCAGGTTAAGGGACTGGAGTTAGGGTTAATACCGGCATCATGGAGTAGATTTAAAACTATTCGGCCGAATTAGGAAGCTTCGAAACTAAAAGTCTAAATTGAACATTTGAGGAGGGTAAGTAACTGCCATATGCGACTATAAAAAGCAAGTCGAGGACACCCATTGTAGGCGGCACGCACGTCTGGACCCTGACTTGTAACTCATCCGCCTAATTACTCGTTTTGCGCGAATTGAATCTTTCGAATTGGAAGTTAACAAACTGTTGCTGGTCAAATATCCTTCTGAGTTTGATCTCAAAGCATTTATACTTTTCAGAGTGCATTAAAAAATACGTCAAAAACGGTTAATTATAAGAAGTCGAAATTGGTTGGAACAAAAAACCACCCCAAGCGTAAATATAACGTGTTTTCATGGAAATTCCAAGCAAAAAATGAAAGCATACTTTCAAAATTCTTAGCAGTGGTTAACCGTGAAAAACAACACATTCCGCACTTTAATAGCTTCTATTTTTTTTTACAAGAATCTAGCGAATTTCAAGGCGGATGGTTTGAACTTGGTCTAAGTTGGATTTTTAGTGAATCATAATTGAGTTAATCACCCGTTTTGTAAATCCAAACTAAGAGTAATGGGATGGAAGATCCTCAGTTGGTCTATTTGAGACTGGGGGTGTTAACTTGATCCTGTAGATCATATAGTTTAAAAAAATGAAACTGGACTACACTTATGTTCTAGAAGTGAACGAGTATGGTTCTTTCTCTGCCAAACTGTCGGACGGAATTGCCCTCTCATTCAGCTGCTTCGGAGACAACGGTCTCAACCCCAACATTGGTCAGTCAATTGAGTGTGATGTGGGTTCTCCCAGTTTTCCTTTCGGCTCTTTTCCAACCCCCCTCCCCACCATTTAAATTTTTACAGTTTTTTTACTAGTTGTTATGACTAAATGCGTGATAATTGACGTAAAGTTTGAAAAACAAATCTGTTTACAATTGTTAATCTGTTCACCATGCCAAGTTTCCTTAGATTATGATTACGTAAAAGTAGTTTTTCAAATTTGAAATTGAAAAGGGGTAAGTGAAAAAGAGCCTTCCCTTCATGTAAATTTATCTAATGCTTATGATGTGCACAAATATTTGATATCAGCACAGCCTATATATACACTCAAAACTGTTGAGTTCCCGATTTTCAAATTAGCACATTAATAACATATTACTAACTAGCACATCATTACCGGTGTTTGATAAGTTGCACAAAATTGATGAGGTTTAGTAGTTTAAAAGCTTCGCTTACAAAATTGCACTCGATGAAACTTGGGGTACTTGCAAATGAGCGTTATTTCTTTTTTTTTTGTTCAAATTGTGATAATTTTTCTCGTTTGGTAGAAATGTACCTGTATGATATATTGCACCCGAATGAAGGTAAATAGCTTGTTGCTTGCTTGTCCCTAGTTCTTTAATTTCCTCTTTCCCTCACGTGCGGTCACGAAGGCCGCTTTAACTTCACACATGTTCTTGTGATCACTTTTGAGATGATGTTTGATTGCCTTTGTTCCTCAATATCATCTCGCAATTGGATCTTTTCCACTCCTCATTTCCCCACGTTTTAACTTTTATTTCATTTTTAAGTTGTTTTACGTGTTATTATGGCTAAGGCGTGATGAAATAATGTAAGTTATGAAAAACAAATCTGTTCACAATTGTTGGTTTGTTTACCATGCCAAGTTTCATTGCATTGTGACAACATTTTAGTAGTTGTTTAAAATTTAAACTTAAAAGTGGGGAAAAGAGCGTCGAAATCTTTCAAGTTACTCTTTCTAACTTTTGACCTCCCTAATGCTATCGCAGTAAGAAATGGATATTCTTTGGCCCAAATTGTGCGTTTCTGCTATTTTCAAAAAATTATCAAATCAATCAAAACCATAAACTATCATTACTAACGCTATTCTAATTTTGAGCTATGATAACAGAAAAAACTCAAGAGTCTGGTTGTCCTGATGATTATAGCTTGATGATCTTGTAACTCTTGAAAAGCTTTTCCTAGTGAATAGATTTCGCTTAGACTTTCTATAATTGTCTAGTAATTTTTTTAGTGCAGAGCTCTGGGTGTTTGGCCTGGCTAGTTTTTGAATTGAACGCATAGCTTTAATTATCACATTCTAATTGATTTATAAAATTAGTAGTGGGGTAATTTCACCCCGTTTTTTAATAGTGTATTTTAATTATATTTTGTTTCAGCCAAAAACGAAGAAAATTTAATCGACAGTCCTAAAAAACTCTGGCGTTAGTGGCACAAAAATAATTTGAAACTTGAAAATAGTTTTAAAAAGTCTTATTTAATAGTTTTTTCTATTGAGTAGATGAATCCAACTTTGCAGTTAGTTTAGATAATCTCAGTGGTTTCTGTTTTTGATAAAAAGTAATAGAAAGTACGCGGTTACTGTCCAAGTGGAACAGAGCGCTGCGAAGCAGTCTTTTTTCGCAAGAATTCTGCAAAGTAAGCAAAGAAAAAGTAAGAATTGGAAAAAAAAAACATTTTTCTGTAGACAAGTAGACAAGCGAGATAACGATCGTAGACTTGTAACATCACTCCACCATTTTTTTCCATACGTAACTTAGCTTATTTTAGGCAAAATGTTATGCAACGTTCATGCGTTACTTGAACAGAATGATTTAATTATATCCGCTGTAGGATAGCGCATTTTTTGCTGTCTGGCATCTGAGAATAAAGTATGCTCGAAAGTGGCAGTGTACAAGATGTCATGGCTACTAGATTGAAGCAAGTAACTCTTGGTTGGGAGGCCTAATTACGAAGCTCGTAGTCTCAGTCGGTTTTTGATATTTTGAAAAAAAAATTCGAATTCTGATGAAAGGATGGAATATTTGTAAAAGGTGCTTTTTCTTGAGACAAATTCGACATTGAACTAGCCTCTTTTGAATGGAGTTTTTATACCATAGGTATTTTCACCCTGAGCCAAAAGTTAAAACTGTATTCCTCCTTATTTTGTTTTAAAAAACAGTATTTTGTTTTAAAAATGCCAATTTAGCTAACTGAGGACTATTAACGCGCGATATATTTTCTCCTATGAATGCGTGATTGGTAATTTGGTCCGGCTCAGATATTTATTCAGTTTGATGGAGGCAATCTTTTTGGAACGATTATTACGGTGGTAGACGATGATTACATAACTTTGAACTTTACTTAGCGTGTGGAGGGAATTTCACTTTTTCAGAGAATTTCAGTTGTGGAGGAATTATTGCGTTCTTTTTGAAATTTAGTCAATTTTTAAATTGCTTTAAAAGATGATTAATTCTTTGGATCTTAACTAGAAGTCGCAGCATCCAATTTTTTGCCTTGATATTCCAGAAGTCTTGTTAAGTATTTGTGAGCACATCTTCTATTTAGATCATGTTTTTTTTGCAATCGTAATAGGTTTTATGTGGTTTAGTTTTTTATTGTTCCGACTTTCGATACGAAAGTAACGAAATATTTGTGCTCGGGGTGGGTTTTTTTTCTGACAAATTTCGACTGTTTAACTAGCCATTTTTGACGGAATTTTTTTTGTATCATTCAAAAGGTATTGTTGTCCTGAGCTTAAATTTGAAAAGATATTTCACCTGTGATCATTTTTCGTAAAGTTATGGGGATTTAAAGATTGCCATTTTGGCCAATTTGGGACAATTAACGCGCGATATATTTCGCTCTGTTAACGCGTAAGCGGAGATCTAATCCGTCTTATAAATTAATCCAAATTGGTTCAAGGACGCTCATTTGCCATAATTCATTAGTTAATAGGAGCGAAACTTATTCTTTTGTACTTATATGGCGTGTGGGGGGATGATTTTCTTAGAAAAAATTTCAAATAATAGAAAATTATTACTGCTACATAAATTTTAAAATGCAGTCGGAACATTCAGGGCTTCGCCCTGATACGAGCAGTCTTGTTTCTTTTCAAATCAAATTCTGTTGCAAAATTGAGGGTACATTATGTCCCGATAACGTTTTGTCATCAAATAAATTGAGAAATGACTTTTTGGCTCAATTTGGGCCGGTTTTTCTGAACAAGCCTCAAACAAAAAATTAAAATTCAATAGATTCAGCATGGTACACGTTTATGTACCATGTTTCTCTCATGTACATTGTACATGTTTTTAAAAGGGGCGGGAAGGGGCTAGTTCAAACACAATTTTTTAACTGTTTGTTGGCTATATTTGTTCAAATGCTTCTTTCTATTTTTATTACTTTTATCATTGTTTTTACGAGCTCCTTGACATTTTGCTTGCTTGCGTTAACGAAGTGCAGCTTCACATCTATGTTTAAGTTTTTTGTATACACATGATTTAACAGTGGTTTTTGAGCAAAAAATTTGTGTCAATATACACTTGGTTGAACTGAGTTTTCCCAAAAGTGCTCACAAACGCTATTGGGTCGGAGCTTTTTGCTAAATGTGGCAGTTCCAGGGTTTTGATCTGTTCGAAATTTCGACAAAGAAATGGTCGACAAAATGTTACACCCCTTAATAAGCACTAGCATAATGATATTAGTGGATATTTTTACTGGATCTAATCGATTAACCATAGTTTTTCAGCAAAACAGTACCGGTTTCAAGCATTCTATGGACACGACAAGAATCTTCATGTTGTGGATTTTTTAAGGCTCTTGCTGTCGCTCTGGTGTTTGTTCTAGAATTTTCTGTAGAAATTCTGTAGATATTTCTAGTTTTCTTGCTATATTTTCTAAAATAGATTCAATCCTGACCGTTTTTATGATTATTTAGAAAAGGCGATGAAATTCGTTGACATGAAAGCACCGGTTCCCCCCACGCCACCTGCTGCAGAAGCAAAGCCGGATAAAGGGGGGAGTGCCAAGGGCAAAAAGGGAAAGGGATCTGCGGGGAAAAAGGGCGGGAAAGGAGGCGGGGGTGCCGAAGCGACAACACCTCCCCCTGGCACGCCGCCGGGTGGTGACAAACAGGTTAGATCCAACCAGCCTTGTCTTTTGGTGAGATGTCTTTTTTCTTCATTTTCATTCCAAATCTCTTGTGAACAAAGTAAGTATGGAATACCACGCTCTGTATATCTGATTATCCAAAAGCCAGAGGGGTCCAAATAAGGTGGGGTCCAAATAACTTTGGAAGCTTTCAGGTTTTTTGTTTATTTTATGCACCCCGAATTTGATTTTTGCAGTATTTTTTGAAGTTAGATCTTAAAAGCTTGAATCTTATCTAAGCCAACAAGTTGAAATTAATTTAAACCAACAAAAGTTATATCGGGTGTAATCTTTTTCTGATCTGGATCGTATAACCGAAAAGAGTCAAGTTTTTCCTGATAGACGGACGGTGGTCTGGGTACTCGTGGCACCGATGCCACCGGTCTTTTGGGTCACGAGGAGGCTGAAATGGCGGCCAAAAAGGACCTGTCGACCTCTGAGTTCCAGCAGCTGCATGTCTCTTCGCCTAACGGACTTACAGTCAACTTCTACCTAGAGAAAAGTAAGAGTTTTTTTCTACAATTACCAAAAAAAATTAGTTCACATTGTCCGATTGTTTCTAAAATTGGCATGGTAGACTACTTAGAGCATGAAAAACATATTTAGTCTTCATGCTCTTAACTTCCTCCTCAAAAAAACCCTTCGTTACCCCATAAATATGATACTTATCTGAGGTGGGAGAGGAAAATGAAACCATTTATTCACAATGGTAAGGACCTACATTTGCGCATTGTAGTTCTTTACGGAGAACCGCCGTTAAACCCTTTTTAGAACTACTTGAAGTTTATTGGTTATTTTTGGAGCTGAGAGTTGTTGGCATCCCAAGCAATGAACACGTATTATGGTCGGCCTCGAACCACCGACCTTTCGACTAATAGGCAGATACCTTAGCAACATCAACATTGCTCCTCATTTAAACTTCTAAGGTGTGCGTTCTTTGTCGATGTTTTTGAAAAGTATACGGCACAGTCAAGCAATAAAAGTTGAACAGTTTATGGTGGTATACTAAAGAGATACTTATACCTTATACTTTGAAGCAGGGGCGGATCTAGGATTTTCTCAAGGGGCGCGGCGGATTTTTAGGTCGACCAAATTGAATTTCTAAGCTCTTCTAAAGCACTAAAAAGACTGTTTTGGCCAAATTTTCTGACGTTCTTAAACCGCGATCCGTGGATTTTTATCTGCAATTTTTAATATTTGGTCCAAATCCTTAAAAATTGGTCACGGACTTTGCAGTTCTAAAAGCTTTAATGTTTTAATACTTTGATCACGGAATCCGCAACTAACACAAAATTTAAAGAATTTAGCTGCTGTTACGGATTCCTTGTTACAATTCACAGGTCCCTCTGATTCCGCAAAATCCCAAATAACACTCCGAGGCCGTCTAATGAATCTTCGAGAATTTATGTATATGAATCTTTTTAGGCGTTGAATCAGGAGACAGTTTGCATGATGAACTGGGCCATCCGTCTCTTCTAGTGGAACAGTCGTACCCGTTCAAGAGTAACAAGTCCAGCAAGGATTCCTCCGAGAGTGACTCACCTCTCGCCAGCAGCACTGCTTGGAAGGAGAAGACGAGATATGTGAACAGTCAGGGAAACGTGATCAAAATACTCAACAATGGCAAGATAGAGGTACTTTTCAAGCAAAAAATGAAGCATTTAAAATTATATAGCAAGAGAACCGTAATTTGCAAGTTTTTTTTCTGATACGCCTCATTTGCAAAAGTTCTGGACATATATATTGGAATGCGCAGGAAATTTTTCACGGGGTTGGGGGGTTAAAAATTTTGTCGATGTTTTTTTTTTATTCAGCCTTAAATATTTTGCGCTCTGTTGAAACGGCGCAGAGACAATTCAGCCACAGACAATTCAGCCGATTTAAAATACAGACAATTCAGCCAAAGACAATTCGGCCGATTTAGATTAAAGAGACAAGATAAAAGGGAACAATAAAACTTTTCTAATTTGATTAGAGTCAGAAGGCTTTCAACAGTTTACCAAAGAAATGTAAAACATCAAATAACAAATTTCGAAGATCAAAACAAACTTGCTATGCATAAAGTTTTACGAAATATGTACATTGAAGGTACACAGTTTTAAATACTTCTGTATATGGTCTCGATTGTAGTTTTTTGCGTTTTGAACGAGTTTATCATTTGCTATTGAATACTTGGGCTTCTGTTTTCTGATAATATCACCGGACATCAGTCTCTCTATATTAATTTCGGCGTTTTTTTTGCTCATCTTTGAATCGTGTGATCAACTTGGGGAGGGCTGGATGCTTTGTCGATACGAACTTATTGAAGCTGCCATTCCATGCCTCCAACGCATTGTTCGTACGAGGTTCTCCGCTGAGCACCCGATTGAAAACGTTCCAATCGGCAATGTCAAACTTTGGTTTGACGCGTCTATTTCCTCGACAAGCACCAATATAGGTGTCTTCGAAGTAGTCTGATAGACTCTGGAATTCCTCTGAGGGATCCTCTTTTCGGAGCGCCTCAAACGCTAAAATAACGTCGTCAATGGGAACGAATGCCAAGCAAATCATTTTTATGACATTCAGTCGAAACTCATCATCGTCCATGAACTTGCGCGAAAAACCAAGTTTTGTACATTGCGCCATACTGCTTGGCCCAGGTGGAAGAAACAGAATTTAATTTCTGTATCAGGCTGCATTTTTTTATGGCGTTGCGTACAGCGGCTTCAAAGTCAATGACTACTTTTTTTCCAAATTGCTCTAAGCAGCCAAAAAGTTTTTCGTAAGTGTCTTGCGTCTTATTGGGCAGCAGAGCATACACCAAGGGTATAACTGCGTTTTTGATTACACCATGAATAGTTTAAACTTGATAAAAGACGTCTGGTGCCACTGAAAACGTTCCATCGCAATGACAGATTTCCGACTGAGAAAGCAAATCAAGCGCTGGTAGTGTTGCAAAAACTAAAACTCGACTGTCCGACTTACCAGAATCAAAATACAGGAACGTATCACCGCTGTGTGTGAGTTTGAGAGGTTCAGGAATTTCGTCGACGCTATCAAGGTTTTTTGGTTTTGGCATTGTTTCCAAAGCTTGCTGCCTGATTCGGTTTATACTTCGAAGGGATGTTGAGTAACTCGGTATGGTGGGCGCTGCATAAAGAGGCAAGTCAATTTGGGCGTTGAAAACAATCTGTCGGGGAGCGTTACCGGTGTTTGCGGCTTTTTCTCGAACTTCATTAGCAAATTTCTTGGCTTGAATTTTTGAGGGGCTCGGTAAATGAGCGTGCTCGGTTTTTAAGGTAAATTCTTGCTGTTCGTCCAAATAACCCACTGCTCTACAATTTCCAAATGTACATTGCCATTTAATGAGACCGTTCTTAAGTTGGTTTTTTTCACGGTATCTATAACCGTCGAGACAAAGATGTTTTTTTCCGCGTTCAGATATTACGAATTCCATTTTACGTCAACTTTTGCTAAATGTGAATGAATGAGAATGATTCGGATACTAATCAACCACTTGTTCAAGCTACTTGATAATGAAAATTAATCAATGTTAATTGTGTCAATGGACCATTTAACTGCAAAAAGTAGGCGCTAAACGCGGTACTGGTTTCTGGTTGGTCAATATTTTAATCGCAATTAGTTTATCTTTTAAAAAAGTTTAAGTATCAAATTAGTTTCAACCAACTACCCAAATTACCTGATAGGCGGTTGCACCCTCCCCCGCCTAAGGCATGATAAGAATATCAGCGTAACTGTGTGGCCAGTACGTGGTAGGGGTGGTCAGCCCTTTAACTGATATCCTTTTTGACCGCCTGTAAATTCCCAATTTCGGGTCTGCTTTCGTGTAAATTGGTTAACTTTTAAGTATTGCGCAGTTTTTTGTAGAGTTCGATCAGAATGAACACATTAAGCAAATTATTCTGCGCCGCCGGAAATTGTTCTGAGAAAAACGCCATTTTGACCACATTTTGGAAGCCTTCGACCATAAAATGGCGTTCATTCCGGCGTGTGCTCGCCCCCAAGTTTGGTGTATTTTGAAACATTTAAAAGTTGGTCAGCCCGAAATATCTAACGTAAAACAGTACTGAAGGGAGACCCTTAGGATGGAAAAATTTAGTGACCAGAATTGAGGCTAGTGAAGCGAAGTTTGGTTACTGTATATAGATCTTTTCCATCGACTGATTCATACACACTCTGATATGAATTAAGTCTTGAAGTTAGGTTTTCAATCAAATTTAAAAAACTCCGATAGCTTTGTCGTATTTATTTTTACAAATTAATTTTATAGTTTAGAAACCAAAAAATAAAATTGTTGAAATTAGGGGGAAATTTGCCATATAGTCAGGACCACAGATTTATTGAGAATCAGAACTGCTTAAATGAAGATGCGGGCTGCTTCTTTTCGAAAATTTTTAAAACCACTCAACTTTTTATGTTTCTTCCTGAAGGACTATTTTTTTCTTGAACTTAGAGCTCCACGTTTTTCATTGAGCTGGGCGTTTTTTTTAATCAAAATTGGTCGTTTTAGATGGTTGTAGGTTGCAATCCAAGTTATTATGTTATGATAGAAAATAATGAATTTGTACTTAGGGTAGTTTTTTTTCTGTGTTGTCCAGGTGTTATGTGCAGATGGAACCAGACTAGAGTACAGTGGACCCTGGGTAGATCCGACTTCCTTCCAGACACACAACCAGCACAATTCCCACTCGGCTCGCAACAACGAGGAAGGATCCCAGTCCAGACCAGAGAGCCAGAACAGCCAGACAGCTGGGGAGGATAAAAACAACAGCAGACCAGGAACTGCCTCTAAGAAAACAGCAGGTGAGTTCTTGTTCAAAAGTTAGACTTAGAAGAGAGGGTTTTAATAAAAGTCACTCTCCTTTTTTTGGTTTTATTTATTAAAGCGACCCATGTTTGGCTTCAAAAGCAGTTTGGGGATCTAAGATATCTTCTTTTTTTATTACAACTATTGAAGAAGTCTTCCTGTTAACTGTTTATCGATTTTTTGCGAAAAACTCGAAATGCTTTGCTGAACTATACCTGACCATATTTCTTGATCAGTTAATGCAGCAACTGAGGCAAATCACGCGGTGAACTCTAATAACAGCGTCGACTCGGCCCGCTCATCTCTCGTAGCCATAGCTGCCAACCTTACTGCCCGGGATCGAATCCCGACTGAGCGAAATCGGAAGACGTCTGGCGTCTTTTTGAACAACTCCTTGCTCGCCAAAAATAAGATGACAGAGTCGCGAGTTTCCGTGATTTCACTGGCCTGTTAGAAACTGACAAAAAAGTCAAAATTAGTTATACCATTTTAGCTAGTAGTGTTATTAATGGCATTAGTCTAGCGCTTTTTGAATTGTATTATTAGAAGTTAGTCCAAGCTTTATTTCATGATATTTTGTTAGTATAACGAATATATAAGTCATTGTAATTTCAGTTAACCTTGTTGCTTAATCAAAGCACTTAAAAATTTTAGCATCTTTACTGTTGGATAGTTATCGTGTTCTCGCGTTTTTTACACTGTTAGTAGTGAATTTGAAGCTGAAAAGTCAGAAGCATGAGCACATATTTAGAAGTTGATTAATTCATTATTGTCAATTTTCGAAATAGGCTCAAGGTATTAATCTATTCTAGTTTGACTTATCACAGCATGTATGGGAGGGATAGTTTGCATGTGAAAATTGTCTTTTTAGCTCGCTTCGGACTTTAATCTTTTCATACATCTTAGTTATATGTTGTTTGTTTTCAGCCAAATCGCCGAACCGAGGAAAAAGTCCCAAAATGGGAGGTCCCGCCGACGCCTCTGGAACGTCTCCGGGCGCAGCGGGTGAGCTTCAAGCACCGGCTGGCGATGGCGCCGGTCACCATCCAACGATAAAAGAGTCAGAGTTACACGAGAGAGGTATTATAGGGTGGAACTATGTAACAGGAATAGGAGAGCAGCTGATCACTAACTCCAAGGGGGAGAGAGAGAAAACTGAAGATTTGAAGTACTACACTGCGACTGACCCTGAAAGTATGGAGGTAAAAAGACAAAAAAATTGAGGTTGATACATTCGAATAAATTTATTTTCCTCAACGAATTTTTGATGCATTTGAAAATGAAATATTGACTATTAAAAAATGGATATCACTTGGTAAATTTTAGTTATTCTCTAATGATTACGCTTGCGGTCAGCAAGCGTTATCAAATCGGAATTTAGACTTTTTTCGGGTTACAACTTGTTTAACGTAATCACTTGGTATTTTGGTTCATAATGAATTCGAATTTGTAAGCGTATCCGGCACTTTTAGTCTGGTGGTACCGAATACGCACGGGACGGTAAGGGTTCTGGGTGCGAATCTTACCAGGACATGTTTTTTTTAACAAACAGGAAATATTCTGTTTCGAAAAAAAATTGTCGGCTTAAATTGTCTGCTTATGTTTTGTCGGCTTAGGTGCCACATTTTAGTGTTTTTTTTTGCTGTACGCGGTTTTCATTGTAGTTGCATTTTATGCTTTCATTTAGTTCTGCATTGTGTAATTCTACTAGAAGAAGAAGAAGAAGAATTTATTTCTCCATATAGTTGATAATACAAGCATCAATTTATTTAAATTATTAAATCAACAAAATGGAGGGGATAGACAAAAGGCGCAGTATGTGCCTACTTGACGTCTACCCGTTGAACAAATTATGATTGCAACTAAGTAATAAAGATATATTTACATTCGAATAAATATAGGATTAAGGGGAAAAATTTATTTTTCCCCTAAATTTAAGCCCTCATTAAGGAATAGTTATTACATCTAGTCCTTTCATTTCGGCCAATTCTCATTCCAGCTGACGAACTATGAGTATGAGAAATAATATGAAAAAAAAAATTCTAAGTTTTTTCTTTTTTTTTTAACCTTGACTTCGTATATTTTCTTTTTTGTTGTTTTTTTGTCTCTTGGCTATGTGCTTTCTTGAAATAAGTGGTTCATATGTTACTTTTTGTAGTTCATGTTGCTATTTTATTTAAAACTCCTGATGGTTGGCAGGTGCTGATGATTCGAGAAGACCGGGTTATGATGGTGTCGCGACCTGACAACAACACTTTGATTGTGGACCACAATGACGGAACCAGAATCACGACCTTCTACAAGGAACAGCAGATGCCCACACCCCCTCATCCATCCGACCCGACCGAACAAGTCGAGCAGAACAATGACGAACACGGTTAACGTCAAGTTTTTTTTTTTTTTAAATTGACTATTGTTAGGCATTGATTGCAGTACCAACTTTCTAAAGTGATTTTCAAGTAAATTTAACACAATTTCGCGTTCGTTTTTTTTTCAAATATATAAATTCAATTAACCCCTGTGTGTTACTAGAAACATGTTTTCAAAAACTAAATTTATAAGTAAAGTATTAAATCAAGCACTGGAATCTTATATGTATACATATCTACCTAAACATGATGTAGATATTACAAAAAAATGTATTCACCAGTTTCATAGAAGCTACTGCTATATGTCTGCATCTTAAATGTTTTTGATAGCAATGCTTAGGGTTAGCCCGAAATTGTGTAAGTTTTGCTTTTACATAACACAATTGGCATAAATTAGTGCTCAGCAAAGTTGCTCAATTTCAGTATCTGTATGCTGCCAATTGTTTGATCCGCCTTATTAAAGACTGATGTTTGAATACAGCAAATGCATAAGGCCAAAAAATATGTGCGTCAGATGTTGAAATCCCGTAGGCGGCAAATAGTTTTTAGTTTTCAAAGCTTGATTTTTTAGATGGGTCAATTTCCGAAAATTCATCGGGTTTCAAAATAACCAATCAAAAAGCAGTCTGAACGGAATATTCAGGGCTTCAAGCAACTGATACGAACAATCCTATTGACTTTAAGTTTCGCAGCTGAGTTTAAAATTGGGATGCCCCAGCGGAATTAAGTAACTGTCTATTGACCCAGTTTTCTCAAATTGTGTTGATTGGTTGTATGAATATCGAAGAACCTTGTGCTGATAAACAGTTCCGGTTTTTTTTTCTAATTTATCGTTTGCCTTTGCTTCCTTGAGTTTATTATTTTTTACTTAACTATATTTTCAGCTTGGTTTTTTTTTAGAAACAGCGTCTCGGCTGGTGCGTTTTGTCAGGATAGAATGTGAAGGATTTGCCACCCTGGATTTCAACACCGAGGACTCCAGTTGTAACAGTTTCTTTGGCTCCCAGACTAGCCTGTTCGCCCATCCTACAGGCCTGTATGTGAGCAGCTGTGCCGACGGATCCGCCATTGTCATCAGCCACAAGGTACCTTTTTAGGTCAACCAAATTGATTTTCTGAGCTCTCGCAAATCACTTTAAAGACCTTAATTTGACAACATTTTCTGCGCCTCAGGCAAATTTGTGAAAAAAACAGGCTAAAAAGGCGTTTTCAGTTACTTTTTGGAAAACTTTTACCGAAAAACCGCGTTTTTTTGGCGCGCGCTTCCCCCTCAAAAATTAGTATTTATTGGCGCGGAAGGCGCCTTTAGAAAATTTTTAAGGCCAGTCGGCCAAAAATGAATATCTCAAAATAGAACAAAGGGGGACCCTTTGGGTCGGCAGGGGGTCGAATCCCTAATGGGGGGGGCGTCTGCCCCCAGCTCTAAATCCGCTACTGCGCACTATGATCTGTGCTCAATGCGTGAGGGTGAGGCAACATTACCCAGCCCAGAAAAAGTTAGATGAGATAAATGACCTTGATTGAAAACTACATGCAATGAATTTGTGCCTGTGCTGAGGACAGTTGCTTCACCCTCTAGCAACGAGCACGCATTCTGGTTAGCCTCAAAAACACAATTTTTGGAGCGTTTGGACCACTGGTTTTGTCAATTTTGGGTCTCGTATCCGAACCCCCCTATGGCACATAGCAACGAATAACGGCTCTTTTTCCTTCTACCCAACCCCTCCCCCTCCCCCCACCTCACTCAAACATGAACTTTATGGTCCAACGAGTGGTTTTACAAGACCAAATATGCTGATTAGTCTGCATGCCAATTTTCACGACAATCGGACAAAGTGAACGGAAACTTCAAATATGAAAATTGCAGGTGGGAGGGAAAAGGAAAAAGAGCCCGAATAACCACCCCTATGATGAACTAAACTAATAGTTAAGCATATGCAGATTTTACACCTCTTTAACTTACCCCCCCCCCCCCCCCCCTTTTGCAATATTGGAGGAGTGAGTTGAAGAGATCCAATTTTTCAAAGGTACGTTTGTATTCTGTTAGGGTCAAGTGGTGTACGTGCGTAAACCTGACCATGAGGTCATCGGGTACCTCTGCAACTGCGACTCCTTCGACCACCTACCCCCCGAAGTGCTCAGATCGAACGTGTTTGTGTTGAAACACAATGACCCCAACATACTACAACACACGGACAGTTGTGGTAAGAAATGAATCGTGCGTCACAATTGGGCTAAATTTAACCAGATAAAGTTTGACCCGACAGCTTTGCTCTGATTTATTATGGGTGTTGTTACGATAGCATTACTATCTGCTTTTTATCGCAAACGGAGGAGTTTGTTTTTGATGACTCCTTTGAAGTCCAAACTGCCGCGTCTGATATGTCTTAATAAGTTTATAGCTGAAACTAGTATTTTTCAAGTTAAATATGAGTGTTCACTAGTTTAAATGTAAATGATATATAGATATTTGGAAAGTTCTGGCTCGGCTTTCGAGTAATGGAACGGTGATCAAAAACTAGAAATGTATGTTTTTCAGGTAACTTTTATGCGGTTGACATCAACGGTGAAGTAGTTGTTTCAAAATGCGAAACTGAAAATGCCGAACCGATCGATCCGGCGACGAATCAACGTGTGAGGTACTTCGTGGTGAATCCCGACCAATCTGGAGAAGAATTGCTTCGTCATAATGACATAGTCTCTTTGCTTCGACGAGCCGAAGATGATCCGTCCATTGTGGTGCTTGTTGATCCGATTCCCGAACAGCCGAATGTCAAGGGTGTAACGGTTATGCAGCCTAGTTTTTCGGCCAAGCGAGACAAATGGCTGATTCAAAAGGAAGAGAAAAATATCATTCCGAAGAACTTGACCTCACGTGATCTGAAGACGCTGCCTCCTAGGGAATTTAAGAAGCCTGGTCCCAAATTTGGAACAAGAGCAGGTCAGTTGTTTTCTCAAAGTTGTCAATGTTCACTAGATCTGGAAGAATGGGCCGGTTTTTAGGAGACAAATTTTCTAGCTGAAAAATTGAAAAGTGTTTTTTATAGCCGACCAAAGTAATGCAACTGGCGCATAATCGATTGACACTTTGTGTGGTGCAAAAAAAACGCTTTGATTTATGTCGATCTTCCGTGATTAAGATAATTATCTCACGGTTTGCGAAAAAAAATTCTCGCAATATCATAAACAGAATAGTCCAAATCAGCGGCCAACACTGGCTCTCACGCGCACTATCGTGACCAATGTAAAAATTTTGTGATAAAATTATGTTGTGTCATTTCGGTATAATTCGATCACCCTTTTTTTATGAAAATAAAATTCTTTACCAGAAGATTCTTTATAGTTTTGAGATCAAAATGAAAAAAACTGGTGCAATTATGGACTAGAATACCGTGCTGGTTTAATATTTGAGAAATAGTATCTTATTAACACATTTTTGGATGCTCATTCTGGCAATGACGCTCAGACGTTTGCGCAAACCTTTGCCTAACAGAATTTTTATATGATGAGAGATAATCAGTTTATCATCAACAGCAATGCCTCCAAATTTACAGCTAGAAGAAGTTATATTCTTATCAAAGCTAAAAACTGTGTTGTCAGTATTAAATAAAACCTTGTTCGGTTTGAACCCCGTCTCAAAACTACATATATGTTTATCAAGAAAATTTGGTATCATAGCGACTTAATTAGTATGCTTGTTTGATCAGCAGAAAAATACACACAGATGATTGTACTGTGTGAGGCAGATCATTTATTTATATAAGAAACAGTAAAGTGCATAGATCGGAACCATGAGATACTCCATAAGTGTTGCAATTTTTAGCCCGATATTTGGGGGAGCGTCCGGTAGAATCTCGTCGAGTCTAAGGAACGCTGCGGTCTGTATCGGCCGGAGCTACAGATCTATTGGCGTCGGGGAAGTTGGTTTTAGGGACAGTTGAAAAAATGTAGTGCAGTGTGGGAAGATGGGCATTGGGGGCACTTAGTGGGGACGTTCGGTCTATCCTCTTAAAAAAAATGTTAACGTAGGGAGGGACTGTAGCCGTATCTTATTTGAGCAAGTGTGCGTCTAATTGAGAGGGGAGTGTCCGTTCTGTTGTAGAGACGTCTGGTGAGTGTGAATGTGCTATGGAAGCGTTTTAAAATTCTGATTCACGAAAACGTTAAGCTGCCTAAAATCTGTTATAGAGTTGGGATCTTTCGGCTCATTAAAAACCAGTTTGGGTTCCTCTTTGTAATTGTCTTTAATGTTTGGGCGTATATTTTGGGGGTGGGACGCATGGTGAGTGTGAAAAAAGTGTAATGGACTTAAAGACATGTAAATTTCGAGAGAGAATTGAGATGTGAGTAGCTTACGGTGATTTACCACATTAGGAGTGGTCCCACATTTGGAGTGAAGATGGTCAATGGAATTCATTTTAGTGCAACCGGCCACTATCAGAAGAGCTGCTTTTTAGAGCTTCTTTCAACTGGCTCCAATTTTTGCCCGACAGTACCTTCAGAACCGATATCCTGCGCATGGCTTCAATTGCAGATTGTGTGCAGTGATCGGAGAAATTAGGAGCTGGATCGAAATAGACACCGAGAATTTAAGGGCGCCTCTGCTCTAGTAAAAGCGAGTCGCACAATGTTACTTTGCGGTCAAGCTTAAATTGTTTATTGTGGGAAGCAAAAAGACTGACTAAACTTTGGCGGGGAAAGCTAATTGCTCTGCTTGTGAAACAATTTATGTAAGATATTGAGATAGTTTCTTCGCGTAGTGGAAGCTTTTTTATGGCGCACGATTGAACGAAACGGTTAGGTCATTGAGTTTTCTTAATCTGGCAGATTTGGGTACATCGCAAACGTAGAAGTTAAAAAAAAGTAGGTGAGATGACTGAGCCACGAGGGGCACCAATACGCACTTTCCTTGATGTAAGCAAGCCGTCCCTGAATTGCGTCTTGGCTTGCCGTCCACTTAAATAGTTTGCTAACCATACCATCGGGTTAAGCTTTCGGGAACAATGATGTTATGTAGCAGTCCCAACATAGTTCGATGGCAGACCATGTCGAAATCTTTAGAAATATCTTAGAGAGTTCTTGGTACAGTCTTATGGGGGGAGGGAGGGAGGGAGGGGTCGCTGTTGATTAAAACCATCGTTGATATGAAGTTCAAGAGTAGCTAAAGCAGTCGTTGTTCAGTGTAATGGTCGGAAACCGTGCTGATGAGCTGCGTTTGGGAAGGATATTCGATAGGGTTGATAGGGACTGGAATTAATTGTTTTTACTGCTTGGCTTGAAAATGAAACAGGGCGTTAGAAGTACGAGACTTTCGAATCTTTGTTTGGTTTTGGTAAAGGAACGACCTTTGAGTTCTCCCCGGTTTGAGTTACTCTGTTTAACTGAAGAGATAGGTTAACAAGATGCATTAAAAAGCTTATAGCCAGTGGCCGTAGATGTTAGATAAGAACTGTGTAGAGACCATTAGGGCCCAGTGCTGTGTAGGGTTTCAATGTTTTAATGGCTGCCTCAGTTTCACATGGCAAGAAGTACAGTGGCTCATTCAAACTTAGTTTCAAAATATTCCTTTTTTGATTTCCCGTTGCACTTTGTCCGTTTTGTGGACCCTCAGTTTAGTGAGTTGCACGTTAAACGCGTTTGCTCGTTCTCTTGTCTTCGAGTTTTTTTGTTTTATTAAAAGTGATAGGGAATGATCCTCTTACCGCTTTTGTTCCGTTTAGGGAGTGGACCACTTATCAAAATTTACTGGACGTGTGGTGGCTAACCCTTCGCAGCAAGTCGTTCCACGTTTTCTCTTTCTTTTGCAGTTTTTTTATCAAGTTGAAATTTAAGGTCTTTAAAACAGGATTTGACGGGGTTTCTAGTCTAAGTTTGTCTCGTTCTTTCCCGAACTTTTGGTTTTGTCGCTCAAAAGCGAATTTCAAAGTTAATGAAACCCTGTGGATATATGGTGCTTTGCTGTGTTCAGAATGATGTTTCTTAAAAAATGTTTAGCCTTGCTAACATCTTTTTTAGTAACGGTGTTTGAATATTTGCTTTATTTTCACTGCCAGTAAAACTTTCCCAGTTTGCTTTATTAAAATAAATGAACGTTTTTCTTGCAAAGAACGCGATTTGCTCAGTTAAAAGGAGACTGATTAGAATTTGAAAGTGGTCTGAGCCCAAAGTTACCACATTTAAAAGAGTAAAATTTATGATAACGATAGAGAGATGTACCGGGAAGAGGATGATGTGTTAGAGAATGATAAGCGAGTCTGATTATAATCATGTAAAAATTGAGTCCAAAATTTTTTTTCGCCAAAAGAGGCACCTCTGTTGTCTTCTGGTCCGTTTGAATACGACAAGGGTGAGTGGGCCTTAGCCTCTCCAATGACGATTGCGTTATCATCTGCGAGCAGTTGAGGCACTGAAGCGTTATAGCATTTAGGGCAACTGCTGCGCCGGGTGATGTAAAAATTTGTGGTGCTTTGCTTTTTCGCCTGTAATTTAAAAACTTGGGCCTCCAAATTCCAGTCTTCTACGATATGCACTTCTTTGTACATAAGCGATATATCTAGGACAGTTAGGGTGCCTTCTGCATCTCGCGGGCGGTCTTTGCTTATTACAGGGTAGTTTGGACCAAACGAGGGATTACGATTTTTCTCAATTAATCTAGTTTCTTGGAAAGCTGCAAGGTGTATCTGGTATTCGCACATGACTGCTGCCCTTTCGGGTGCTTTCCCCGATATGCTATTAGAGTTTAGTTAATGAAAGTTGAGGGGTTTAGCGGGTGGAGTACAGTTAGCCGTTTGGGGGTCTCTGAGATACGGGGGGGGTTGCTTTGGTTTGTCGGGTACCATTAACTTGGGAACAAGTCTTTGTAACACGTTAGGTTTTGTCCTTTGTCTATTAGAGGTCTTCGATACTAAGAGGTGTAGGATGTAGTTATTTCTACAATTGGGGAAGTAAAAGTCTCGATGGTTTTGCTTTAATTTTAGAGGTGGGTCCATCAATTGGACGTTTATCCACCCGCATATATGGCACCACACACTAGGTTTTGTGCATCCAATATTTGAGTTACATGGGGAATAGGTATAGGGACCAGGGTTGAGATTGATACCGGCGTGAAAAGATAGGACGAGGATTAATAGACGGAGCAGTCCAGGCGACTTTGGCTGCTCCTAAACCAAAAACCCGGTTCGAGCGTGCTTTTCGCGCTCCCAAAAACCGGAGCGTTGTGCTGGTGGCATTTCTGGCGGTTCTAGTCGTCTGCGGGGTTCACTTTGAGAAGGCGGCACCGCTGGACACCGCGATTAGAAATATGCTACCACTTGGATAAGCTGTTGATAACTTCAACGCATTGAGATCTATCCTATTCAAGAAACAGCAAAGTTCCCGAAAAAGCAAACAGCACACTTTTTTTTTTCAAGTCTCAGTGTGGTTGATTCATTTAAACTCGTTAGCGCATAAATTTTTGATAGAATTTCTTTTAAAGAATAAAAAGATCAAATGTTTCCAAATCATTCTGTTCCCGAAGGTTCATTAATTTGAAGTTTTTCTACAGCAGAAAAGCAAAGCAATAGTTTATAGTCGTGGACAAACAGCGAGAAACAACATATAATTTGAAAATATTAAAAGAGGTGTATTTTATTTGAAACATGCATATCTCCGTTCAATGCAAGTTCATGTTTTAGGAAAAGGTCTAAACGTCGGTTCTCTGGCCAAAAGCAAGGCGACGGAAGAGGTTCCCATCTATCCCAAAATGCCAGATGTAGTCGCTTTGCGCCAGTTTGTCGGCTTCCCAGAAGTGAAGCCAGAAGTACGTTCTGCCCTGACTGAAGGGCTGAAGTCTTACTGTCAGTCAGTGGAAGAGCGTAAGCTGTTTGTGGAAAATTCAAAGAAGTCTGATCCCAGATCCAAAGAGGAGATCGAGAGAAGCGTGCAGCTTGAGAAACGGGTAAGTTCAAAGTACAACGATTTCTATCAGGGTGTCTATCAGAGTTAAGCTGGTGTTGATCCAATGTATTTTTTTTTAAATAACTTTCAACCCCCTTACTAGCGCTGCACATAACGCTGCACTATTTTGACCAAATTTTCTGCGCCACAGGAAACTTTTTGAAAAACAGGTCAAAAATGTTGTATGGCACTTTTTTTTTGAATGTGCCATCTTAAAATTACTATATATCGGCGCCAAGGGCGCCTTTAGAAAAGTTTCAGGGTTGGTCGACCGAAAATGGATGTCATAAAATAATAACAAATGGGGACCCGTTGGTTGGCGAGGAAGGCGTCCGCCCCCCCCCCTAAATCCGCCTGGGCCAAATAATCATTCGAATTTCTGGTCAATAATCATGTAACCTCCAACCGTAAATACAGTGCTGATTTAAATTATCCGGACAAAACGAACATAATTTGAAATTTCAAACGCGTTTTTCTCAAAGTAGGTCACGATTAGACAAAAAATAAAGGGAAAAAAAGTTGTTTCAAAAATAAAGGGAACAAACAAAAATTTCATCAGAAGTTTTATGGTGAATTTTTTTGAAATTCGTGACTGAAATTTTACCCCAAAAACCAAGAATTACGCTGAAAGAACCGCATAAATTGACGAGAAATTTATATCAAAAGAAGCCTCCTACACAGCACATGAAAGTTCTAGAATCATAAAAATGCTACAAATCTGTATTAGATTATATGTTGGCTTGATAGCAAAAAAGACATTTTTACTGTATAAAAATCAAAGTCTTTGCTTCAAACAAATTTTAAACATTTTATGCGAATTTTTGGAAGTCTTACTTTTCTTGATCTTTATTGGGATGTGTAAGAGGCTTTTTTGATATAAAATTCTCATCACCTAACTTGGTAATTTAAGCGTAATTCTTAGTTAATTAAAAAAAACATGAGTGACCCTTTTCTGTAGTAAAAATTTCGAACTAAATGCACCATTATACTTCTAGCAAAATTTTTTTCTCTCCATTATCTATGTAATCTTCACCGAATATGAGAAAAACGCATCTGATTTTTCCGAAAGACAGAATTCAGTTATAGTAATAGAGAATCGTTTTTTGAGCATTTTTGGTCAAATAATAATTATGTGGTTCCTGCAAATCGCAGAGGAAATATCCATAGGCCTTAATAGTCCTGTCGAGGATAGTCCATTTGTATTATCTTCGCACATTGTAAACTGTATCATTTTGTTGAGGGAAGCTCTTTTTTGCAACTCAAGACCGTTTTTGCGTCTAGAATTTTCACGTGGTACCACTATTGCAGTCGAAAATAGTCAGGCTGAGGTAGACCTCAAGCAAGAGGTCAAGTGAGAGCTCGTCCTCACACACTATCAGTGCCATGGAATGAGATCGAATACACGATCTGACCATTTCAAAGTGAAATGGGTCAAAATGGTCTGTTATATTCTAGATCAAAAATTTTCTTTACGCTGTTGATTGTTATCAGTTTTGAAATAGTAGAAAATCCCAATTTGAGGCTCATTGAAACTCATTGAAGTTTTTCCACTTCAGGTTATTACGCAAGTTTGAAAAGCTCATTTTTTTCACAGATATGTTTGGGTGAGAAAAGGGGTGAGAAGAGGACTTCGTTAGGGGTGAGAAGCCCTCTTCTATAGGGGTGAGAAACCATCAATAGGGGTGAGAAGAAGGCTTCGTTTGTTCGCCTAATGCCAATTCTCATGCCAAAAAAAATTTCTGTGAACGATTTTCTAAGAGTCGATGAATGTATAAAATACCCTTAAAAACACCGTGATGTTTTTTTCCAGAAAGGTCTTAAAGTTTGTTCACGCTCTAATTTTTTGATTTCCTTTTCAAGTTCAGTTCATTTCCTTTGTTAAAAGGGAGGAAAACTCCACTATCGAACAGCAAAAGTGTAAACGTCACGAAAGTTTCCCGGTAGAATAAAAAGTTGCCTTTTGATCCAGTTTCTCAAATTGGGTTAATTTTATCAAAAAAAGTGTTAATCAGAAATTCTTCTTGAAACTCTAATAGCTGCTAGGCCATATATTTCTTTGAAATTCGAAAGTTGATTTTTTTTCAAAATCAAATCCGTTTTTTTTTCTGTTTCCTTGCGTTTATTGACTCTAGTCCAACTGTCTGTTGGTTACATTCTTTTGTTTACATTTTAACCTTTGTTTTCTTCAAATCTTCGGTTTTAATAGGAATCGGACCTGATATCATGGCCTGAACTCTTTTTGCTGCGATCCAATCTCGTGCATAAAATGTCTTTGGCCTCGAATGTGTGGAGGAAGTTTTCGAACGTGTTTGTTTCTGATACGCTCTTGTTTTGTTTCAAAATTCAAATCCATAATGCCTCTTTTTAAAGTCTTGATGGCGGGCATATAACGTAATTTGAACTATGAATTTTTTAAGTTTTTGTTTTTTTAGATGAAAGAGCGCAGTGGACAACAAGTGACCACCATCCGCGTTGAGTCCGAATCAGACCAGAACCCATTCAACCACCCAGTGCTTAAAGAGCGAGCGCGCACAGGGTCTGGGAGGACTAAGGAAGGAGCGGTGGAGACATACAGGGTCGCCACTAAGCCCCCCACCCCGCCCGAACCACTGGTGGCAAAACCGAAACGAACCAACTCAGCCTGGGGTCGAGACAAGTAAGCTCCAGTTGTATGATGCATCAGCTTTGAATCGTTGTGATTCGCGGGACTTAAGAAAGTTTCTAGGGCCAATCACCCGAAAATAGAAAAATGGAAAATCGTAAAATTGTTTCAAACAGAGATCTTGCCTGTAACGAAAGTGTCAAACTCTTGTGGGGGGCTGTTGGATGTCCAATGTCTCTAAATACGTTACTGCTTCGCATGAAATAAAACGTGGATCCAGACGACGCCGCCTTCCAGTGGTGGATCCGACATCTTGGGCCCCACCAAGATGCAAATGGCGTCAAGCCCCCCCTCCCATTGGGTCGGGAGAAGCTCAGAAGTCTCCGGGTTTTCGGTTACGGAGCGTCTGAAGCCGGCCAGGCTGCTCCGTCTGCTCATCCTTATACTACTACTCCGCTCCGGCATTAATCCAAACCCTGGTCCAGGGCCTTACTTTTGCTCCCCTTGCTCTTTCCGCATCAAACGCACCCAGCCCAGTGTCTGGTGCCACATCTGTGGTTACATTCACCTTAAATGTAGTGGTCTTACCCACCTTAACCAACACCACCCTGACTACTATTGCCCTACCTGTACCTCTACCTACATTTTACCTCCCCCAGGCACCAGGTCCTCTAACTTGACCACCCCCAACTCCCAAACTTGTTCAACTTCCCTAACCGCCCCCCCAACCCCACCTCCCTAACCCCTCCCCCTCCCACCCTTCCCACCTCCTCGAATAAAAATTCCTCCTCCCAAAATCGCGCAAATCGTAATCGTGTAAATAGTGTAAATAACTCAAGTTCAAACAACCATTTTAATCATACTGCTGTTAATAATGTAAATAGTTCACCACACCCCGCCAAAGGCCTTTTAAAAATCCTTCAATTTAATTGCAACGGTATCTCCGGAAAAGCACCCGAAATTGCTGCTTTCTTATCTCAAAATCAAATTCATATTGCTGTCTTCCAAGAAACTAAATTAAGAAAGAAATCTCGAAACCCCTCACTAGGCTCACACTACACTTTAATTAGAAAAGATCGAGAAAAAGAAGGGGGCGGTCTTCTCATAGCCATACATGAGTCGATACAATACGAAGAAATAAATATTAACAACGATGGAACACTAGAGGCTATGGGCATATCAGTGGTAGCCAGTTCATCCAAGCTTCGTATTTATAATTTCTACATCCCCCCTCGCTCGAGCTGTCCCCTGGTTACTCTGCGTCCCTTGCCGAACTACTTGAACCTGGGGACGCCTTAGTACTCGGGGATGCCAACGCACATTCACAACTATGGAACTCCAACATCGAGGAAGATCAACGCGGCTCTGTACTTAGCAATGAAATAACCGAATCCACCTTTGCACCATTAAATGATGACACACAAACCAGAGTCCCTTTTAACTCAGAAAACCAACTCTCGTCACCAGATATTTCCCTCGCATCCCAATCGTTCTTACTCTCCACATCATGGACCCCAATTAAATCTCTAGGATCAGATCACCTACCCATTCTTCTAGAACTACCCTTGGATGATTTTATAAATTTTTCACCTAAAAGGACTTTTATAAATTTTTTAAAAGCAGATTGGATCAAATTCACAGAGGAAATTGAGGAGGGTTTCTTTTCAGCGGTTCCACCTTCCGGAGTTGCCGCCGGAGAGAAATTCTTGAGGGACCTGGTGCTCAGGGCAGCACGCCACCTTATCCCCGCTGGCCGTATTCGCCACTTCACTCCCTCTCTTTCCCCCTCAGTCCACTGCCCTTGCCGCCGAAAGAGATTTAAGCCGACAACAAAATCTCCCCCCAGAAGTCATATCCCAACTGAACTGTAGACTCATGAAACAGACAGCAAAGGACAAAGAAAATAAATGGCGAGAATTCCTCCGGACTTGCGACTACCGCACTGGTGCCAGAAAGTTCTGGAAAGTGGTACGCTCCTTAAATGGATCTAAGCCCGTGGCAGGAAGACACCCCATTACTTTTGGTTCTAAACCCGTACACTCACCTCGTGATATTACCAGCTCTTTTAACAAACAATTCACCAATGCCAGACCCCACGCCTCTGACAAACTCCTTCGTATAACGAGAAGAAAAATTGCCAAACTACCGCTGTCAGACAGCCCAATTTTTACCCCTGAAAATACTAAACAAGCCATTGCAGACAGCAAACCATCGCGAGCGCTAGGTCCCGACGGCCTTTGTAATATACACCTTAAACATCTCGGCCCACTTGCTACTCAATACTTAACATACCTTTTTAATATCTCTTTGTCCGAAAACATTATCCCCCAAATTTGGAAAAATTCAAAAATTGCACCGCTTCCAAAGCCCATTAAGGATCTTAAACAATCAACATCTTACAGACCTATATCCTTACTCTGCCCAGCAGTTAAAATTCTGGAGAGGCTCGTTCACCCCATCTTTACCAAACATCTCCCCAACGCCAAACACCAACACGGCTTCCGCCCTTTTCACTCCACCACCACAGCTCTCTCCACTCTCGAATTTTACATTTCAGACGGTTTTAACCAAAATCGCCCCCCTAAACGTACGGTACTGGCCACGCTTGACTTATCTAAGGCTTTCGACATGGTGTGTCATCGCTCACTTGTGGAACTCGTTCATGACACTCCCCTCCCAAGAAGTCTAGTCCGCTGGCTAAGTAATTACCTTAATGGTCGACAGGCTGCCACCTCATTCCGTGAACACACATCCCCCCATCGAATAATCCACTGTGGCGTACCCCAAGGTTCTGTTTTATCACCCACACTCTTCAATTTTTATGTCCATGATGCACCGCCACCTCCCGATAATGTAAACCTTGTTTCGTATGCAGACGATTTCCACCCCTTCGCAAGCAGTTCCAATATTGATATCGCCTCAAATTCCATCAATAGCTACCTAAAAAGGCTCTACGATTTTTTCACCTCACGCAAACTAAGTTTCGCGTCCTCTAAAGGATCAGTTACACTTTTCTCCTCTTATAACAAAGAATTTAATAAAACACCTAGTGTTCTTTTAAATAACGAGGCGCTACCCCTAAACAAAAATCCAACAATCTTAGGGGTGACATTTGATTCAACACTTTGTTTTGCCACTCACTGCAAACAATCCGCTGAAAAGGCCAGACGCAGGATCGGAATCCTGAAGGCATTAGCAGGATCAACCTGGGGTCACTCCAAAGAAACCCTCCTCCTAACTTTTAAAGCTTTAATTCGCCCCATACTTGACTATGCAGCCCCCGCATGGTCCCACGCATCAAGTAACACCTCCATAAATTGCCTGCAGGTTGCCCAAAACCAATCCCTTCGCGTTGTTACTGGATCAAATCTAATGAGTTCCACTGCCCACCTGCACAGTGAATCTGAAATCCTAACGGTCAAAGACCACCATACCCTTCTGTCATCTCAATTTTTTATCTCTACCTATCGTTCCCACCATCCCATTAATTTTATACATTCACATCCCCCTCCTCCCCGTCTACTTCGCCCCTCAATTATAAGCTGCTTCAAAGAAGACACCCAGAAAATTTTAACCGACTTTTCAGTCTACGCAAACCACCCTCTAGTTCTGGACGACCGAGACGAAGTCTCCACTTTTATTTTTAACTACTACAAACCAATTTTAAAAGACAACCATACCTCCCTTGTAACCAAGTTCCTAGCCGAAACCCCTCCGTCTAAAGTTATTTGTATCCCTCCCCCAAAGATTGACCCCTCTGAAAAATCTCTCCCACGTCCCACGCGCTGTAAGCTCTTCCAACTCCGGTCTGGCTACAGCCGGCTCCTTAACACTTACCTATCCCGCCTCGACAGCTCCATCTCCCACCTTTGCCCAACCTGTTCCCTTGCCCCCCACACAACATGTCACCTTTTCAACTGCTCCCAAAACCCCTCCCCACTCACCCCAGCAGACCTGTGGCTTCGGCCGGTAGAGGTTGCTAAGTTCCTTGACCTGGAGACAGAAGAGCCCAACCCGACCCGCGTGGGCTAACAACAACAACATGAAATAAAACGTCATTAAGAACTGAGAGCTGATAAGTTTCCTATTGGTCGCGTAAGCGTAGTTCAAGAAATATTTCATAAATTTCGAGCTAGGATATTTTTGAGCCTTTTTTAACCAAATGTTCCTTTCCCGTTTCAACTTTTGTTTTAAGCCCATTAACCGTTCTGTTTGAACTTGTAGAATTCTACTGAAATTTAAAATTTTAATTATTCACAAGAAAATTGAGCAAAAATGATAATTCAGTGTGTCTAACTATGAAATAAATGTTTTAGTTTGCAGCAAAAGTAACTAAATGGTGTTGTGTTTTTTCATGTCCTTAAAATTTTCAAAATACAAATGTGTGCTTCGTCTTTTATATCACATTAATGCTCATCAATCTCAAGAAAAAATCAAAACATTTATTGCAACAAGAACACTCAGTACCGAGAAAGTGGTCTGAATTCTGTGCTATTCGGACAGACATTTTCACCGCTAAATTGGAAGTATAAAAAGTGATCTAACCGGCCTAATTTTGCTTTGGTCAACTAATATCTTAAAGTTCTTTCAGCTATTATTATCATAATCGATTACTCCATTTTCATGTTAATACTTCTAGAGGGTGACTTATTTTGAAGGTCAGATTCATTGCACATACGAAGATATCTTTGTTTCTGTGATCTAACGTTGTTTTAAGTCTTTTTGAGGAAACCCTTGCCTGTAATATGATGATTCCTACTTTTGATGAAAGTTTTTTTTTTGTTGTGCTAACTAGATTTGTATTGAAAAATTCTGGTATTACAAAGAAAACGAGACTTTATATTTATCCTTCTATGCTCATTTGCAACAGTTAAGAGTTGTTTTCTCCACCTACTTCGCTCTCTTTTCCTTTTCTATCTTGGGATGGGTAAAAATGATCTTTTCTATGGGAAGTTGTCCTTGTTTTTATCTTTTTTCTATTTTCCTTTGCTGATTTCTTCCGAAAGATTGTTTACGGACAAACATTTTTTGACTAATTTAATTAAACAACGAGAAAATCAACGACAAGTTAAAAAGTTTCAATTTAAAGTGTTGTATTGTCATATGCCTAAAAATGTAAAAATTTCTATTTTTAAATGTCATTGAAAGTAGTGAAGACGGTCAAATAGGTCATGATGATTTTTATCAGGAAAAGTCTTAATTTTGATCAGGCTCAAATTTAGTTTTTCGCGGTTTGTTAGCTATTTTTTTTCGTTTCGGTTAATTTTTTTTAAAAAGTAAGGCAAACTCCACTATCGAATAACAAAATTACAGATCATCAAAAACATGATCGACTTCTTATTTCAAAAATAGATTTTTATTTTCAGGTTTCCCTCGGAATAAAAATTTTATCTATTGATCTAGTTTTTTCAAAGTCAGTTAACTTTATCAAAAAAGTTTCCTTCATAAATTGCTCTTTGAATTTTACGAGCTTCAAGGTCATATGTTTTTTATTTTGAGTTTTGAAACTTGAAGGTTTGGCTAAAAACAAATCAGTTTTTTTTTTCAAGTTTCCTTGTGTTTTTTGACTTTTTTAAACTGTTTGTTGGCTGTTTCCTTCAAAAATCAAATATTGAATATTTGCAAAAACAAGTCAGCATTTTTTGCGTTTACTTGTGTTCACTGATTGTTTTTAAGAGTAATGAACGTAGTGAAGAGTCTTATATAGGTCTTGCAGGTTTTTTTTTTTCAGGAAAAGACTTAGAAGTCTCTAATAAGTACAGATGTGCATTCATACATATTGATGCATTTATGAAAGCACTTAGGCATATGTGCACTTTTTGAGTTCAATGAATTTAATCTGCTGAAAGTGACGTAAATAGCACTCTCCAAACTTGAACGAGGAAATGGCGCAAAAATGTGAACGGTTTCTAGTTTCGAACGTGGAATTTAATTGTTAGACTTTCAGCGGATTAAAAACTTTACCTATTGATCCAGTTTTCTCTAGCTAGGTTCATGTTATCAAAAAAGCGCCAATCATAAATTGTACTAGAAATTCAAAGAGCTTGAAGGGCATTTATTTTTTCTTTGAAATTTGAAAGTTTTTTTATGTGTACTTGCGTTCATTACTCTTTTCCCATCTTCGATTGGCTATGTTCTAACTCTTTGTTGGCTCAGCTCGCCTAATTTTGTTGCGACCCTTGCTAGAATTTTTTTTGCAATATTTTTTCAGTCGTATTCAAACGTTTGCAGGTTGTCTGTTGGAACCATCTTGATTCATCTTTTGTATTCAAAGATACCCAACTTTTCTTGATTGCTTATAAATTCGAATTTCTCTCAAAGCTGCAAGTTATTTGTCATCAAACAAATGCGTTTGAGTTTTTCCAGCTCAGTTGCAAGTAATTATTCTGTCCCCGATGTCTATATTGCGTTGTTCATCCGGTGACAGTTCAAGGAATAGTTGTTGTATTTTTTTGTCCCAAGCTGAAAGTGTCTAGGTTTTTATTCCCTTTCCTTCATCTTTATGATAATCACTCTTTTCATTTCGATTTTTGAAAGATGTTCTATATTGATATCCAAAGATCATAATTAAAAAGACGTTTGTTCTTAAGTTATGGATGACTCACGTATGCACTATGATGCAATCTAACCTCTCTCAATGCTTCTACATAGCTCGTTTTTGTATATTTTTTGGGGTGTAGTGCTACGGGTGTCTGCCCATTAGCATGCAATAGTTGCTTTAACTAGGTGGTTCGTGTAAACGAAGCACATGAATTAACCTAATTATCAATTTAATTTTAAAAATCACTTGATGTGTTAAGAGAAGCGAAATTTTTATGGGCAATATAATATTTGTAGAAGAGCACGCTATTCAAAACTGCAAATTTTATCAATGAAGTCTTGAAATAGTGAGCGGGTCAATTGCATTGTTTCATGAAATTTGTACACTTGAAGATTACATTTGGCGGATTTCATGCCAACTGTTGTTTTTACACTTGCGAACTTGGGTGAGCGGAGTGTAATAGTACGACTATAATTTTTTCTAACCTAAGTCGTAAATATTGGTATATTGGTGCCACTTTTCGGGCACCTTTGCAGCTTTTCGATGCCATGTGCTTTGACATTCAATAAGCAATTTTCTTAACACAATTGAGGCACATTTTTATTGTTCAAATGAACCGAAAACTATTTGCTTTTAATATCAATAGAATAAAAAAAATGTGATTTCAGAAAATTTCCAATTCAATATATATATCGCATTATTTTTGAAATGCTTAATTTATACATACTATGGCTTTATGCTTTGAATTTATTATACGCAAAGTTTATGTGGATGCCTTCAGTATGTTATATTCCAATTTATTACATGCCAAATTGTGTGCCTCTTTGTTTTTGGTACCACTTTTGCTGCATTACATTGGCAATTTATTTGCACATACAGCTGCTTTATTCGTGACAAGTGTTTGCCGGCAGTTAAACTTTCGTGGCCGGCCTGAGATTGCAGGTTCAAATCCGATACGTAGCAAATTTTTACTAATTCGAGGCTTATTTCTATTTTTTATATTGCACTTTATAAAGCTGCTTTTTTGTCGTGTTCTGGCAAGTGTTTGCGAAGCACAGCTTCGCTCCTGTGTAAGATTTCTACAGTTCGTTATACTGAGTGTATGGCTAGACGTTACCTTGAACGAAAAGAAATTAGGGACCGGTCGTTTATGGAATGTGTGTCGCTTGGCATAAAAATGGAGTCTTCATTCTCTTACTAAATCAAATGATTTTTGAAATACAATGAAAGTTTTCGTTAATTTGTTTTTCGTGTGAATGAATGAATACCTTATTGAAGTATTTATCGCATGCTTGTGTGCACACATGCTTATCGCTACCCCTCCGTTTTTATTTCATGGTGTTTCATTAGAGCTAGTTCTGAACCCATTCATGGTTCTTTAAAAAAAAGGTCTTTCTGTCCGCCAAACTTTGTCTCTTAAAAGCACCCGTGTGTGCTGCTTTCTTAGAAAATTTCAAATTTGTGCTTGTGTGCGAATTTTTGTCTTTTTTTAATGTTCAAAAAAAACTTTTGTCAACATGAAGAATGTTGTGAAAAATGGGAAAATCGGCAAAACTTTTTTAGGCTAAGCATATGTGAATTTTGCAACTAGTAACGAATCTCCCCCCCCCCCGATCTCTCTCACCCCCGCTTTGCAAAAGAGAAGAAATAGTTGAAGAGATATCCTGTTTTGTTTTGCATGGTTTGTTTATGAAAACTCTCTAACTATCCAACTATCCCCCTTTGGTACTCAGTAGCTAATTGTCGATAAAAAAACTTTTTTAGGCTAAGCATATGTGAATTTTGCAACTAGAACGAATCTCCCCCCCCCCCCCCCCGATCTTCTCACCCCCGCTTTGCAAAAGAGAAGGAAATAGTTGAAGAGATATCCTGTTTTGTTTTGAGGGAGGAAACGAGAAAGGAGGCTGACAACAAGGAGAAATTGAGGAACAAGCACATACCGCCCTATTTCCAGTCGTACCTGGCAGAGAACTTTGTCCACCAGCAGAAAGAACTGGTCAGTTTGTTCAATTAAAGTCTAACTACTTTATTTTATGCATACGAATTTTATAATAACTGATCTGTAGGAAAAATAATACTGTGCAAGAATCGAATTTGAATCAATCAAATAACCTTGAGTTCCAGAAATTAAAGTTAATTTAAAATTTTTCCCAAGAAAATTTGCCTGTTGTCTTTGTCAAAAGATTATGATGGGTTTTTTATTCACCGTATCTTGCTTTTGTGTGATTTCAGTTTTGAATATTTCTTTCAAACAATAACGATGACCAAAATTTATGACATAATACATAATGATTTCATTTTTATGATATAATCGATGACATATTGTTCAGGGAATCAACGATGATCTGAAGCAGGCTACTAACAATCTGCCATTCTACGCCGAGAAGAAGGTATACCATTTCCACTACAAATATGGTAACTTACTGCTGCGCCCAAATTCGTATATTTCAAATTATGAGATCAGAAATTAAATGCTCCAATCTGATAGGTTCAAATTAAATACGTTAGAAAAATTTAGTTTGAACGAGGCGTGAAACTTTTATCGAGGGGTCAAATATTACGAAAGTTATTTTAGGTGGATCAGTAAAAAGACCCCAAAGACCCCAAATATGACTCTACTGTAAAATAACAAGTGCGGTAAAATACAGTATATTACTTTCCTCCCAATTCAGTGGGTCAATAGTTTTTTTTCTAGATACTGGTTTGTGAACAAGAACAGCACGCTGAAATTTTGACGCAAAAAATTCACAAAAAATTTGACTGATTTGACATGAAAGATTTATTTCAGAAGCAGGAAATATTGAAGAGATCTGAAATTGAAACGTCCCAAGTAATCGATGAGTCAGCTGCAGATCATGACTCACGCGCACGTGATCAAACTGCAGCCGAAGCTTCAAGCGAAGAAGGGGAAAGAAAAACACGAGAACGAACAGTCGGAGAAAGGCGAACGCGAAAGGACGACGGGTGAACAAATTGATACGAACCAAGGCGATTCGGCACGTGACCAGGAGAAGTCGGCTATTGAGATGAGGAGAACACTTCCGGCTAGACGACTGAACGACAAGGCAAGTCGATTGCTCGTGGTTTCATTTTGTTGGAAATCCTTGCTTGATTTGGTCTATTTAACACAAATGCCTTTAAGCTCCGAAAAAAACAGATTGTCATAAATGAATGGTTTAGTTGTCATCTAAATACACTGAGAGTGAATCACAAATTTTTGATCATATTATGCAGGGCGGATTTAGGATTATCTCGAGGTGCGGATTAAAAAAAAAAGATTGAAAAATTTTGTCGACCTTTTTTTTAGGTCGATCAAATTGAATTTCCGAGCTCTCCCAAAGCAGTTACAAAAACCCTGTTTTGGCCAATTTGGTGCGCCGCTGGCAAAATTTTGAAAAAGGCTAAAAAAGCCTTTTTAAGCACTTTTTTGAAATTTTTGACCAAAAAAATCATGTTTTGTTGGCGCGCGATCCCCTTTCAAAATTCGTATATATTGGCTCCAAAGGCGCCTTAGAAAAGTTTTAGGGTCC